TGTCATTAATTTCACGCGTGATGTAAGGCCTGTGATGTTAATGCCACGTGGGCACAAAACGTGAGGGAATTGAGGAGTAAATGAGGCGAATTACCGGGTTCCCTTGTAATTTTGATCGATTCGTCGAACCAGTGATTTGATAATCGAAAATAATTACACTTCTATAGGATAGTAGGTAGGTTTAATTATAATCAATGGAGTATTACGAGTATTTGGATTGTTAGAATAAAAGAAAGCGTGTCCACAGGCTTCATATGTATTCAAAGTATTGTAATAATAAATTAATCCATTTATTTGATCCTTTGATAATAAAAACGACGTAACTGTTAAGTAATATGTGCCGATTGGTGTTCAGGAGAATAAAAATAAAAGCCGCATTTTGCTTTTTCCTACATTCACACAAATTTTCTCTTTTTTTTTCATTGAAAAATCATCAAAAATTTAAAATAACTTACTAAAATATCGTGTAAAATAAAAAATCATTGTAACGGATATAGTTTATTCCCCGAAACTAAAATGTCAGTGAACAGAAAATGTATTGAAGCATGTTATCTGTGATCACAGGGATAAATTGCTATTTCTTGTGGATTTACCACAATCCCTTTCTTATTCCATCCGCTCAACTTTCTATATCTAGACTTATTCTCAGACCTATACGCGGATTTCTTTTCTCATCGTTCGCTCATATTTCACCGAAATGTCGCCTTTTTGGATATAAATAAACATTACCACATACTGAATATCAAAGACATTGTTTCAATTTTTTATACGTAACAATAGATGATACCTAATCTTACTTTTATGCAACCATATAATAAATAATTAAAAAGAATGATATTTTTAGTGTAATGTATCAAAGAATAAAACATGCTGTAGGAAAATATGTAGGCGTATAATAAATGTAAACTATTATGGCTTCCATTCCAAAAGTGGAATATTTCTTGAAATATGCTTGCATAAAAAACACATTTATTGCAAACTATTTGATTTGTGACTACGAGTATATTGGAAAATATCAAAATATCAGAAATGTTATAATACTTATTACTTGTTAAATAAAGTAACACTTTTCCATTATTGATAAAGTCTCAACACTGCGCGTTTCAAACTCTTTTTGAATGGTTGCAATCTTGCAGTTGCGCTTATTGAAATTTATATCCTACGGCAAAGTATCACACTGAACCGGAAACTTTTGCAATGCACTCTGAATGTGTCAGGTCTTCAATATTCTATGTTTTATTTTTCTTTGTTGTGTTTGGTACAAACTACCGTTACAGCTGCTGGGGCTATATTTTCCAGCGTGGGTCTCTTGGTAAACTTTATTACTTCCAACAAACTGGAAAATTTGTTTGAAAACTTTGACAGCACTAACTTTTACCAGAATTTTTTCAACAAATTTTCCTTTTATTAAATATCAAATGTGACATTGCTGATTGATCATTTTTCCTCAGTGGAACGGATTTTTATTTTTAAATTTAATCAGTAATCCGCGCTTATTTTATGTTCAAACGTCATGAAGCTTAATATTGGTGACGTGCGCCAATTTAATAATTGTATATTAAATATCAAGTGACTAAACGGGGGTTTTTGCCACGAGATTGGTTAAGAGTTTATGCTAATGCTATTTTTTCTACTTTTAATTTATTTTCACGTTTAGTTTTTGTATTTGAACTCTTGTATTTTAAATCTTTGAAATTTGTTTTAAAGTTTGTGGTTAAAGTACTTTAGTCACGATCTTGGCCGTCCGTGAATAAAGTGCTACTTGTTGTATTAAAAAATCGTGGAGAAACTGGCGCTGTAAAGATGAAAGTAGAGAAATATTGTTATTAATATCGTTTATGAATGTAACTATTTCTCTTTCTTAAGAATAAAATCGACGCAGCTGCATCAAGTAAAACTCTATTCTATCATTCGTGAAATTCTTGCAACAAATTCCCTTAAATTACTTCCTACATCTAACAAAGTAAATCCTGAAATCCTAGAGATAAATTTCCTAAGGGACTTTAATAGACTCAAAGCTAATTAGCTTTCATTAATCGTAAAACTAAGATTTTTGTTTGTTGAAATATGTGCCATTCAGTTTAGCATTATTCAAAATAATAAATTTTGGATTATTATGCAATATCATGCAACGTTATGCAAAATAAGTTCAACACCAAGGTTAAACATGCAAATCTCCAACAAACTGCTTTGAATTGCAGAACACCTGTACGCAAATGTCATTTAACATTGTTGTTCTAATTGAAGTCGAGTATGTAGTACATCAACTACATCAACACGAGCATGTTATGTGTACCTACATTCTACGGTTTAGCGCCTCAACTATACAACTATACCCGAAAATAAGGCCCCAGACCTGACAGAATAGGAAAGTGCGACTCTGAGCGTGGAAGGAAGACAAACACAAACTGATCTGTATTATTTACTTAGATTAAGACCACCGCTACGATTACACATTACACTACTCCAACGACTTCAGCGTTGCGCAAGACATTGTATAGGAATAATTAATCTTTATGATTACATCTTCATATACCTACAACTATGTCGAGTAACATGTTCATACATTTGTGGTTCATGTTTTATGCAAATATCCAAGGAACCACTTAAGGGTTGATGGAATCGATAAGAACGTTAATTTCATTTACATAAACGATATATAAAATTCTATGACCCTTGGCGTAGCTGCATATAACGGTCCCCATTGTATATACGAGTATGATCCAGACGTTTTTAGTGCGAAATAAGATTGATCCATCTGCGGAGATTTAACAATTGGATTAAGAGGGAATAAAGTACTTTAGTCACGACCGTGATTCGTGCTCGTCCGTGATTAAAGTACCACTTTTTGTGTTTCAAAACCGTGGAAAAACTGGCTCTTTAAAAGTGGAACTAGATATAAATAAATTTCTTATTTGTGCAAAATCAATATCAAAATAATTGTTAGTAAGCCGAAATAGCTCAGTTGGGAGAGCGTTAGACTGAAGATCTAAAGGTCCCTGGTTCGATCCCTGGTTTCGGCACATTAGTTTTGCTATAGATTTAATGTCCTTAGTATACGAGTTTTTCACAGCATGTTTTCAAATTTTTTTTGAAGCGAATTAATATTTACTTTCTAATGGAGCTTCAAGAAAGTGTTATGGTTTAATGCTTACAAGATATAAAGTTTCTTAAACTACAAAATTACCGCGAAACAGTAAGTAGTTGCAATATACATTATTCAAAATGGTAAATATCACAAGTTATCCTTTCTTCATAAACCTTAAAGAAAGTATTTTAAAAGAGTTCATTAACATAATGCTAAAAGAGTTTTTTCGCTAACTTTCAAACTACGTTCTACCCAAAACAAGTCGGTAATAGGTACATACTACTCGTAAAGTAATAAAAAGCTCGTCAACATAATTATGCATTGTTGAAGATTAAAGTCAAGTACTCGCTCTTCGAGTACAAACTTCTTGCATAAATTTAATTCCAAACATATTTATTTATGTATCAAGTCATTTCTTTTTATTTTTTTATATTTAGAATGTAATCATAAAAACAATTTTGTACGAGACGAGAAGAACATATTAATATAATTCTGTTCCGACTTCCACCATCAAAGCGCCAGTTTTCCCACGGTTATAGAACACAAAAAGTGGTACTTTAAACACGGACGACCAAGACTTGACTAAAATACATAAATCAAGGACTATAGTCACGGAATGGAGCTCAACGTGGAAATTGAGTAAAAGGAGAAATAATAGCGTAAACAGCATGTGGCTAAACGTTGTTAAACACTCGATTGATTAAACGTTTGTTACGGTCGCCCTTAATCAATCTCGTGACAAAAACTCCAATTTTACCACCTGATACTCAATATACTGTAATAAAATAAATGTTTATTTTACCTCTTATTATTCTCCTCGTAAATTCCAAAAAAAGTTATTGTAAATATTATACAATCTAGTTAGATTTATTAGTAAAAAAATGAGTAAGTGAAGAAATTTTACATGATAGATTACGCAAACATACCAGTGCAAGCTTAAAATAGTAATTTGTAGTCAAACTTTACCCACTCATGGTTTTACTGTGTAATAAGATTCAAATTCTGAAACTTGAGCACAAATGCTTCTCATTATTTCCTACTGAAATAAAGCTCCACATATGGATATTTGTTGCACTCCACAAACATTTTTACATTTATTTTACATTTAGATTTAGATCTGCTATCACTCAACTGAAATTGAAATTGTAGGACGAAAACTTCCACAGGCATACTCGTAACACCACTGACGTTTCAAACTCTTACGTTACAACGAGAAACCCGGTTGAATTACTCATTTGTCTCTCCAAGTTTAATATGTATTTACTTCGTAAACGCACTCGCAATCAACGTTGCCATCTCTACTTCAACTTCAGGTACGAGAACTTAAATACGCTAACCACAAATGCTCACTAGAGTCACACACGGCGCACACATATTATTTATTATTTATTTATGGCAGTTTTTTGGATGCTCAGAAAAGCAAGACTAAACAAATATCTGATTTGATAAATGAGCCTATTGAATTTGGTTCACAGTATGTATAGAGGCTAATATAGAGTTGTTTTTGGAACTTTGATGCCGATATATTAATCCTTGAAATTTGGCGAAATTGGCTGTTTCGTGAACGTGCCCGCCTGCCAACGACAGAAAGTAAGTCGATCCGACCTCCTAGGAATGCGTTGTCACAACATCCCCCAACTGGGCGAGGAATTAATGACTTTGAGCGTGTATTTCACAAACTGATTTTTGGATCTCCAAAAACCATTCGATTTTAGCATTTTGCTGATCGTGATTGATATCAATCTCTAGAGAGATTGAAAGACATTACCTGACATAACATAAATTACCCTTCAACTCACTAACAACCCTTATTTTTTATTTTCTACATTTTTTGAATGATCTATAAAAAGAATATGTTTGTTTGTTTGGTGAAGTAAAACTGATGATAGTTGACATTTGGAATATAAATTACCTTTCGTTTGGATCTTGCAATGCGCAGATCGCGACCATCTTCAGCCTCACCCGGGATTCGATGACACCAGATGACAATCCCAATACTTGTGTAGGTAAAGATAAGCACCGACACTGGCAGGACGTATTGAAGGATGAGCAGAGTTTTCGTATAAACATTCGCGTAGTCCTGTCCAAACTCGGTCCAATCTTCTTTGCACATATACCTTGAATATCAAATAAAATTTCTTTATTTAAATTGCACTTCAGTTGCAGATACAAATTCAATTGGGGGTTGGTGTATTTGCATTGATATCCATGAATAACTTTGAATAAATATTCTATAGAGTGCAAAAAAACACGCATATTTTTTTATGAATTGATATTTTACGCGTGCGCACGCGCGATTTTCATTGTCTCTCGGAATGTAAACGAATCTAAACATAAAACGCTTAGATTTACACCTTGCACATGCATTTTCAACGAAAATAACATGGATCATTACGTCTGGAGGTATTGAAGTTTGTAATATAAACAAATGCGACTGTTTCTGTTTCTCTGTTCGGCGTGACGAGGATCTTGTTATTTTTACACTCGAACGGGCGTCACTTTTCGCACTTTTCCCAATGTGCGAAGGCTCGCGATGCACTTCATAAGTAAATTATGTGCAAACATTGAACAGAAACGAGATTTGTTGAAAGCCGAATAATGTTTCAATTACCCGCAGGAAATATTTACATTACAAAGTTATAAAATAGGTTAAAAAATAAATTTGCTTAGGCAACTTACATATCACATATTTCATAGTGTCTAGCTGGTTGCTCAGCTTGTGTTACAATTATCAGAGGTAACGCAGTGATGATAGCGCATAACCACACAGCGAAGATGACAAACGCAGTTGTTTTCTTGGACAATCTCGGTTGTAATGGCCACATAATTGCCACGTATCTATCGATACTAATTGCAACCAACGTGTAAGCACTCACAAACACCGAGACAGCTTGTGCCATCGACGAAACCGGACACAATATGTTATAGAACGGCCAGTATTGTTGAATGATCGAAATTGATGTAAACGGCACGCACATTAATGTTATAAGCATCTCTCCAATGGCCAAATTTGCGATGAAATAATTAGTCACCGTACGCATCCGAGGAGTTGCGATAACAATGTAACACACGACACCGTTACCAATTACCGAAACAATAAACATTAACGCGTACAAGAAGTAAATCCACACTAAGATATATGATTGAAACAATGACTTTGGTGGTTCACAAAAACTATCGTTATACTCCGAGTAATTTAAAAAATCCCAATGAATTTCATAATTATCACTTGCATTCATGTTTATCTTCAATGTGTTATTATTAAAAAAAATTTCTTCGTCCATGATTGATGTATTTTTAAGTTTTTGCGAAGTTACTTTTTTATTACATGATTTAATTATCACTTGAACACTGAATTTATTTCGCGCGTGAGTTCGGATGCTTGGCCGGAGGTGGAAAACGATGGAAAGCTGCACGTCGACTGAAGCTTTCACCGCGCAGGCGACGAATGGAAAACTCACGCGCGTGAGCTTTCGGCGCTTTCCACACGCGGCGCAACAATGAAGACGAATTTCCGCCGGTTTGGGCGCGCATCAAACGTTCGCACATCAAACAAGAACAAAACTATCAAGCTCGTCAAGGTGATTGAAATGATCATTACATTAAACAAATTATTTAAATAAATGCGTTGCAATTACGTGAGATTAGCAAACAACTTAAATTAATCGAAATTTTCAAGAAAAAAGACTTTAAGATAAGATAAATCTAATAATACCGAACAAATAAATACGCGCATTCGTTACAATCAACACAAACACGTGTCGATTGTTTTTCTTGGCCTATTTTCGGCCTCGTCAATTATTACAATCGCACACGTCTGAAATAATAATTCCGACAGTGTAATTCACTTTTTTCTGCAGTATTTTAATATGGTTAATGTAACGTGACGCAAAAAAACAAATTTTTATTTAGATCAATTAGTTAGTCTGCAAAAATAAATGTTTATCTCAATGTGATAAAGTTACTGACCTGTTTATTAGCCAAATTCTTAAATATTGTTCGTCTTTCGAATTTAATGCAGCAGTAACTTAATCTAGTCCAGACCGCAGAGGAAAATAAATCTATTTATTTCATTCGGTGTCAATGCTGGCGAGACGCTGGGAATTTAACACGTTGATTTGTTTATATTGAAGTTATTTATGTTTGCTGCAGGTAAGTAACTGGCTAGCATTTGTAGAAAAATAAAAAAATTAAATAAATTGATTAATTATGTAAATATCACATTGGAATGTTGAAATAATAGGTTATTGTTGACTAAAGTTAAAAGAAAGTAAATTTGTGGTTATATTTTAAGAAAAAGTGTGTAATTCACGTCGATGATGATAGATGGCGCTGGTTGTTGTTGTTTTGTGAGGATTTAAAGTTGCCTAGATCAAAAGAAATTTAATACCGTAAGTATTATTGAATAATAACGACAAAAACAACATAAAGGTTAAGATAATGTCGAATTCCTCTTTGAAATACTAAAATATTTCAAATTGAGTTCACAACATCGTGTCTTATCACCCATACTTATAATTAAATGTTTTTGCATTTTTTGGTTATCTGTCGATAACCTTTGCACTTTGATCAAACACAATATATTTATAGTTAACATTTATTCCACATCTGTCCTCGCTGGCAATCAAGCAATAATAAACATATAAAATACAAAATTTAAACTCAATAACTTGTAACTATCTTATCACCATATATAATCAATCGAATTGTTCACACTTGTTAAACGAATTATTGTAAAACTTATAATACAATCTATGAAATTGGCAGGAGCAAAACATTAAAGCTTTCAATGGAAATTAAATGATTGTTATCATTTCTGTTAAGCGGGCGTCACCGGCGCCTCCCCGATGCGCGCCAGGAAGCGATTGTCACGCTTGTACGAACAGCAGCACGCTGACGGCATCAGGAATGTGTCGGGAAGCGGTTGACCACCATCTGAGAGCGACATCATCTTCCGATAAATGAACTTCTGCTTACACGACGTCACATATCCGTTTGGTTGGTGTCCAAACAGATCACAAGGTTTTCCAGTGCTAAAGAAAAATTTTTAAAAAAATTAAAAAAAAAATTTTTGCAAAAAAATTTAAAATTTTAAAATAAATTTTATAGTTTAACTTACGATGTGCACAATTCAACGCGTACACCTTGCACATATCCGTCCTTGGATCCCTGATTAATAATATACTTCCACTTGTTGTTCTTGTTCTTCCCGGCTTTGGGAAAAACCGTCTTATCAATGGCGCCGCAGATGTAGTTCTCTTCCGGCTCACCAATCCGCTGCGCAAACTCATCGGGCGTTTCGTCCGCACCGAAGAGCACGCTGTCAGCGGCAGCACTCTTACTCCGGCTAAGTACATCACGCAACAACTTATAAGGATACGCAGGAATATCCTCGCAAAATGTACCGCCATTAGCGGCGCACTCAGGTGTGACATCTATGCGCGTCATGGGCTCAAACGACACATGCCCACTGCTGAAACTCTCCAGTGAATCCGGAAAGACTATATCAGGTTGATAATAATCGTTTTCATCGTGCGCATTCGTCGACGTTGGACGTCGTGGAAATGTAAGAATTCTCGTACGCTCCTGTGAATGATTGCTGTCATTTTTAGCCCCAGAATGAATTAATTTATGGGGTGATGAATCAACTATGGTTGTGTTATGTGGACGTGCTGTACACGTCGTTAAAATCTACAGAAATAATTTAATTGTAATCATTTTCTATGAATTTTGATTGAATTTGTTGAACTTACCATGATTAATACGATATAAAAATAATTCACTTTAATATGTAATCTTCCACATTTAATCGCTGAATGTGTGTGTAAATTCTCGTCAATGTTTGATGATAAAAGTTCCTGTTTGCAAACACAATCGTCATGTCTAAATCTAAACGATTCGCGCATCGTTTTGGTCGCTGCGCGCGTAATCACATTGATTTTATTGAATTTCGCACTAATTTATTGCATTTATTTCACAAATATCACCAAATATTATCGTTTCCATAGCACAGTTTCACGTCGTGTGTTTGTTGTTTGACTTGCCTTGACTCTGTGTTAGTAGGTATGCAAATGAATTCGAAAAGTCCGTTTACCTACTTCGACGGCAGCGCTTCGCTTTCTTCGTTCATCACGATCAACCGAAACGCTGCTAACGCAGTAAAAGTTCACTTGGCCGACGCCGTTGTCAACTGCTTGACTATCCGAACAATCCGTGCCACTCTGACCACTCACACTGCGCAATTCCATTGGAATCACACGCAAACACTACGCATTTATTAACAATCACGCATTGTACAGTCGCACGTCTTCTTCTTCACTTTGTTTGTTTTATTCACGAAATTACAACACGATGAGTGTTTCGCGTCGGTCGAGTCAATAATGATTCCCGTGCGAAATATTCGCCGTTACATGTTTGATGCGTTAATAGCTAGGTAAGTAGGTAGTGCAAAACTGGTCTGGACATGGGTGGGTAATTAGCAGAACTGGTAGTGTTGGTGGCACTCGAAACGGAGCTTAATTCTTGCCGGGGTCTCAAGTGCATCGGCGCGCAGGTAGAATGCGGAGAATATATCAATGCCAATGTCGGTCATTTGCATTCAAATTATGCGAGGTTAATACAAGCTTATGGAATAAGCTTTGCTGCGTACTTAGTCGAATACGGTAGTTTACGATATCCTATTCTCTGCGATGCAATTATCTCGTATTGGCACCGGCGTTGATGAGATATGTTGTAATCTAATTACGGCGTCGATTCAAACGTGCTTATTATCTGAAACATAAAGATTTCAAACACGTGATGTCATTATGTGTGTGTAAACAAGAGTGTGGTAAAACTATAGGTGTTAAAAGAACAACTCATATTTTATTGACCATCAAGTCATCGTTAAACAAAATTATTACAATAGTGAAGTGAAATGTAAATGAAAAAAGTCAATAATTGGGGTTTTACGTTTGATTTTATGAATATTAAGTTAAATTGTGCTATAAATTTAATTTGAGGTTTGGTAAATGTCACATGCAGCAATATTTAACCTAGTTTTATCAAAATATGTAATTTTTTTATACGCACGCCCTGGATTTTCTATTTTTCTCACGATTAAATTTAAAAAAATTGTTTTTTACGGTTCCTTTTAATGATTATTATAGGATAGAGTTATTTATATTAAATTTTTAAACTTGTAAGTCAATTAATCTGTGTTTTAACGAATAAAACCAGTGGAGTGCATAAAATATTGCAAAAATGCAATAAAATTAATAGAATATTACACTCAACTATAAAAATTTGTATTTTTACGCTTAAATCACATACTATAACAAAAAAAGTAAATTTGTTAAAGTTGGGAATTTACGCAACTCAGAATCACACAATTTATAAATAGATATACCAGTTATAACATGTAATTATTACTCGAGTTTAAAATTTTAACTTCATGTGAACTGTGTGAGCATGTCACCAAAACCAGACAGAAGTTAATCAACAACTAATGGTGAAATTATCACGTTTATCTAAGTTTTGTTGTTTTTTTGTCGTCTACAGTGCTACACCAAAGTGGCGTGCTGATGAATAAACATATGAATCGCTGCGGCAGTCGCCGATGTCATCGTCATCATCCCACTCTCTTTGTTTCAATATTTCGACGATTGCAACGATTCGTGCTGCCATTAATCGCCGGATCATCATCGCGGTCGGGCGTCCTCGCTCAACAAACTGACCAATAAATAATAGATATCGCGAGCATTTTGTGTGTTGTTGTGATTATTGCTACTGCTGCTGGCTGTTGTTGTCCTTGCCGGTCGAACGCGCGCTTGCTCACGGACGTTTTCCGCGTTTTTCACAACGCAACGCGATTTATTTTGTGATTCACATGTATACACCCGCTATAATCATGCCGAAATAATTGGTTAATAAAAAAAAACGATTGTGTGTTCCTGATAAACATTGATTGTGTAAAGTTTAGTGTATTTTTGTCTGGTGGCTGCACCAAATCCCAAAGCAATGTTGAAGCTGTACTATTTAAGTATTTTCATTATTTTACATGTAAGTAAAATGCATCTGTTACAAAATTTTCAGCAAAAAAGTTATTTTTGTTTGTTTTTGTACTTTTTAAGTGTGCAAACGGTGGTAAAGTTAGTAATCCTAAAGAAGATATAATCCATTTTCCCGGAAAAGCGTCGGTTGACAAGTTCGATGTCTCAGCAGCAATAAAAACCGACTGTATTGCTGGATTTTGCTCTAATGTAGAAAACTACCCTAAGCAAGACGTGGAGAAGCTAGTCGAAAACAATCCTTCGGTGAAAGCATTCTTCGAAAACGATTTCACACCAGAGATATCCCAACGCGGGCAATTTGATAGCGCCGACCTTGAAGAAACGCTCTGCGAGGCGAACGTGCGATGGAGTGCCCCGGAGGCGGCTAACAACACCGACAATGTAACTCGGCTCATTGTCCAGCGAGATGTTAAACAATTTGTTTACATCGAGCAATGCAAGTAAGAATTTAATTCAACACGATAAATTTCTATTAAGTTATTAAAGCGGATGTTTTTTGTAGTAAAAGTGCGTCTTGTAAGTTCAAGTCGAGTTTCCCCAACAATTACGAAGTGTACTGCAAGCAAAAGTACAGTTTAAAAAGACTCGCAATTATAAGCGACAATAACACAATCTATTGGGACACCTTCGATGTGCCATGTTGCTGTGTGTGCGCCCTTAAACGGATTTAATAAGCTTGGAACTTGCGCCAGAAGAATAAAGTGATACAAATGCACCAAAAACTATGCAATAAAGCATGTAGAACTGTACGTTTTTAAATTAAACATCTCATTTCTGCTTCCATAAAATATTTCATTCATCTAACCGGTATACGAAGAGAAATAAACTAATAATCATTTAGTTATATAAATAATTTTATGTACACTTGGTTGCCTAGCGTAAATCAATGTTTTTAATGAAGAAATATGCAATAAATAGTTTATTTCAATAATAATACTAAATAATGATTTACTTACGTGCGGTACAGGTGCAATTAATTATTTTAATTGGATGTTATCCATATGATGATTTTATTTGGACCCTTCGAAAATATCGCAGCGTTCACTGTCGAAGTTGTTGTTGTCCATGCGTGTTTGGTGATGATAATTAGTGCATGGATATGCGTCTGATTTGATTGTGAGCGCTCATTAATTGCCGAAACCTGCTGTCGTTACGACGATAATTATCGCACCTACTGGAATATGACAGCGCGGACACCGACATTGACCAACACCGAACACGATGACCGAATAAATAAATACAACTTTTATCGACTTACTGTCATTGGATGCGATCAAATATTTTGATATTCACACCTGATTTTATTTGGTTTTAAATTTAAAGCCGGTTTAAATATGGAATTGCATGAATTTATTTTTATATAAATTTAATTAAATTAAGTGGCAAGAGGAGGTTCTGTGAATGCAATATTGTATATTAGTAGTAGTATAAGTAGGTATAAGGACTTGTGTCAAGTTTATGGTTTGATGATAATTGATTCTTAAGTGATTTTAATATAGTACTTATAATTAATTACTCTAAGAAGCTTACTAAACACACAATAACAAAGACTGCTTTCAGGAAGGTAAATCAAATAAACTAATTTTACATCTTTAATCCTCTCAAATATTGTAAATGTGATGTACACATGACTATGAGTGGGTTTCTTTGAGACGCTTTCATGCCAAATACACTTAACCAATTTTGGTTACTTTTTTGGTGTAACATCAAAGGTGTAAAATATAAATTTAAAGTTGTTTGAGTTGGTAGGGACTTAATTACAATTGTAGCATTGCATTTTAATTTTAAAATAATGTATAACACACTCTTGCAACTAAATGTTCCCAATTATTTTGTTTTGTTGATGTATATCATAACAATAGAATACGCCATTTTAAAAACAATAAAAATAATAATATGATTAGATTATTGCTTATAAAAATATAAAAATACAAGTTCATTTGAATAAAACAAATTTAAAAAAAAAATAATTTTATGAAATTTAAAATTAAAATAAAATTGATTTGAAATTATTCATGTAATTTACGGCAGGGATATACCAATCCACAATAGTTTTCATCATCAGAATTATTATCAGAATAATTTTTCAATTCAAAAATAATAAATGTAATACCAAAAACTAAAGTAGTGTAAGTTATCCCAGATTTAATAATAAAATTATGCTGGTTTATTATGGATATCAATTCAGTTTTGGTAAAATCAATGTGATTACTGAATTCTATGAAGTACCATACTTCGATTCCAGCTTTTGAAGGCACTTTAAAAGAATGAAAAGCAAAATGACAATACATAATTGATGTAAGCCATGATAATGTTAAAGCGACGTCTGTAAAATCACCACCATTGCTTTAAAACTCGCAAAAAATAGATTTTATTAACTGAAATCTTGGAAATAAACTTCGGTACACACGATAATTTAAAAATATATAATTGATATTGCCAAAAACAAGTAATACAAACGCAGAGTTAAAAAGCATTTATTATTACATTTTCGCTACGCCAGTAAAATATTTTAGCAATATAATATGCAAGTAATATTCTCTTTTTAAATTCATTCTTAAGATTATAATTAAGTGGTAACAATGTAAAACCCACAAGACATAGTACTTTAATGCAATAATCGTACGTTTAAAAAATTGAATTTAATCGAATTGTAATTTTTAAATAATAAGTTGCTATTTATGGTATAATTAAACTAAAATCAAACAAAATTAACTAAATGATGGGAATATTACTGATATATTTATAGTAGGGAAAACTTTGTGCGCATCATCAATGTAATATATACTTATCAATGCAATAACCAAACATATAACCTAACGATGTTTGTATTGCACTCGATTGAAAGTTTTAATGAAAGTTAACTGTATTGCCTATATTTGCCTGCAACCAACATTGCGGCAATGCAGGATGAGTTAATTAAAATAACTGAATATCATAAAATATTCATGTAATTCCCTCGACAGTTATGCAATTCACAATTTACTATAACACAACAAAAACTGAATTAAAACATTCATACTTATTTAATTAAACTTTTGAATAATTTGAAGTTTTTATCAAAGAAAACCCGGGAATTTGCATATATTGTTTATATTTTCTTATAATATAATTTAAAATCACGTCTATATCATTGGCCTCGCTCATTACGACTAAATTCATTGCGGTATTGCGGTTTGTTTACTCGTATTTGTCAGTTATGTGATGTCCAAAAAAGAGCGGCGTACGACATTCACCTTCACTTTTTAAATATTAATTCCAATTTCTTCACGTACATTTCTTTTTCGCCTGCAATTACGCGTGTTATTAAACGCAAAATTTTGACTGCTTCAACTTGTTACAAGCGTTTTAACGCCGGTTCTTTGGTGGGCGTGTGTATTCGTTATAGTTTCATCGCAGCGTTGCCACCGCAAGCCAAATTGACTACTGTTTTCGGTGAAAGCGATTTGAACATTTTAAATTCGTTTCACACTTTTACTATTTTTTCTGCATTTAATTCCCACCAAAAACAATTCGAATTCTTTCAATGCCTCTACACCTGTTGTTGTTATAATGACTGCATAATAATGTTTGTTACGATGTTGTTTTTATTCATGAATGGGGGGCAATGTCATTGACATAAAGTAATTTTTGTATTTATTACATTTTTTAACCGTAATGTCTTCCACCGCCATAACCACGTCTGTAACCACCGCCATATCCTCGTCCATAGCCGCCTCCATAACCACGTCCATAACCACCTCTGTATCCGCCTCCGCCTCCATATCTTCTATATTGAGGATTTGGGTCCGGATTTGGTTCAGCTACTGGATTTGCCACAGCCATGACAATCACCAGGAAAAAAACGTAAATTAACGCCTAAAAAACAAATATTTAGGTGAGTTCTACATTTTATACTGATGAATTCATTAAAAGTGCTTAAAAATGAGAGCAACCACAACAAGTTCTTCAATTCATACATAAATTAATTCGTGAGCGATTAGGATCAATCAAATTCTTCTCAAATTTATAGGAAAGTAGCACAACATTTCAACACTTTTACTTCACTTGACAATAATTGAGAAATAACTCAGTTGTAAACATAATAAAGGAAATACTTACAATGAATTTCATGATGTTAACTTAATAACACTTATTTAACAATAAAATCAAACAAAGAAATTCATTCCTTTTATATCTGCTTCTTAATGAATGCATGATGCATTTTTTACTCATCGATGAGTTTTTTAAGTGTTTTTAATGCTAAATCATTATATAAATCTAGTAAACAAAACAATAATCTAAACCACAAAAGTCAAGAGTCACCGTGGGTGTAATTAATACATAATTACAAGGTATACATGCAAAAAACCGCGAATAAATTAGCTACTTTAATATATGCATTGATATATCTCAACTAGACGCGCATGCGCTTTAAAAATTTGTCATTTCGAAAAGGGAAATCGTAAAATTAATAATCGTTTAAATCGTCAATTAGATAGGTCCTGCTTTTTTAACTTTCTTATACATTTCTATAATTTATTCAACGCATCATTGACGCACACGCATATAAATTGAAATTTACAATATTTCTGATTTCAAGTCGTAAATATCATATTACTGCAGATTTTAAGTACTAAATTATCTGTGTAACAAGCAACTAATGCAATTATTATGAGTGGAAGATAATGTTCAACGTAAACACTCATCAATTGCGCGTGCGCGTGTGGCTGATGACAGGAAAGAATACTAATGCGCATGCAGATAATATTAATGTTTAAAATTTACGTCGGTGTTGACGGTTTTCCTACTTGCGAGGTCAATGTTCCGCACTGAAGGTTGAAAATGAAAATTTAGCGAAATTGCATTAATCTTATTGAAAGTTATATGTTTTTATTTTATATGGGATTTTGATTATTAATAGAAAATTTATACACGGGAGCTCCGCCCAAGTGACTTTTTTAGTGACCTACAAGTAGTGACAGCTATAAAAGTACTCAAACATTAATTGCGTATCTTCTCGTGTGACAAACCGAAAAGAAAACCTTCGCTTGTTTAGTGATCACACGCAGCGAGGTAATTTATTGTTGATTTCCCTTTTCGCTGTGTTTTTTCAACCCCGATTGCGATTGCTTTCGGTCGTAGGTTTGCAAAACGAGTTGAATACTTTATCGAAGGTTTTCCATTCTCGGCGACCTTTTAACCCACAAGCGACATTGAATAGTGATATAAACAACCATCGTGCATCCGCTACTCAACAAGACAACACCGGCAACCCAACAACAATTGCTTTAACTTACGATATTGTCCTCAAACTTGGTAAAGAAATTGCAAGTAGCTTCCAGGCAGAAGAGCTTTGTGTGGAAATTAAACGAGCGAGAAAATAGTTCGTGAATATCACGATTTCAACGTTCGAACATAAATTCAATTACCTAGGATTCCACGATGTACTTCTAGATGATGATAAGGAATGCGGCCGCTATTGGTATGTTGGCAATGACCATGAAGAAGATACTATCGATTTATTAGCTTATTATGGAGAAACAAATAGTGGTTCTGGTTGACTTTCTTCTAACTATTTCGAGCGAAAACTATTATTATAGACTTTTATCCGTTGAATTTTAGTTTAAAGTGTCACAAGTGTTACGACGCGTGCGCATTAATGAGTGCTAATTATGCAAATTATAAATTCGTTAAGCAGATGAATTCAAAATCATTCGATTAGAAATTGAGATATTTACATGGAGAAATATGCAGTTTGGTCAAAATCTAGGTTTATTTTTTTATCAGCTTTATCTAAACCAATCAATCAAATTAATTATTAATGCATAATTTTTGTTAATTTTAATTCATCTAAAAATAACTTTTTTTGCTTCTACCTTTAAAGCGCTAGTTTTTCTATGGGTTTAATACACAAAAAGAATTTCTTTTAACACGAACGGCCATGGTCGTGACTAAAGTACTTTAATCTTTAGTCACGAGGTGGAATTTGCGCCTGGTATTTATAACCATACATTTCTCAGTTGTTTCCGAATAAATGTTGAAGTTTTAAAGTACAAAAGTTAAAATACAAAAACCTCAACGTAGAAATAAAGTTAAAGTAGAAAAAGTAGCGTAAGCATGACGTGGCTAAACTTTGTTAAACACTCAATTGATTAAAGGTTAGCTACGGTTGCTCTTAATCAATCTTGTGACTAAAACTCCCATTTATAATAAAATTAAAATTATCAAAAATACGTTTAAGAATTAAAAACAGAAAATTATTTAAATTAAAACATGAATAATAAGATATTAAAAAATGATGATTTGATGGTTAAAACTAGATACTAAAAAATCAAATTTTGTTTTAATGAAGATAATCACGCATGTTGCGCTCTATTTGATTCACGCATAGCATGTCTCATCGAAAGTTGACACAAGCTATTCATTTGTAATGTAAACCAACACACATATACTCTCAATCGACTGCTAAACGCTGAATTAACCTAAAACTACAAATATTACTAATAAAATTAATATTAAAACATATAAAATATAAACTCTCACTCATTCCAACTTCGATATCTATGTGGATTCATTCAATTTTAATCTTTTAGTTGTTTTTTATTGTAAACAAATATGTTTGTGAAGATAATTGTAATAATTATTGTATAATTTTTGGTTTAGTTTACTTTTAATACTGGAAGTAAAAAAAAGACTTCCGTAAGGCTTAATTAGATAATTGTTAGCATTGATCTCAAAACAGAGTATTAATTTTGTCTAGAAATGAATCCGAGTTTAATAATATTTTGTCGTGTCGTGTCATAAGTGGAAACTGGGTTAGTATTTAAAATTTATTGTTAGTTTGATCTACATTTCGGCGTTTTGGTGAATTCAAATTCAAGAACATTGATAATAATCGGTTTATAATAACATAGTAATAGGTGTCAAAAGTTTTTCTAAACTTTTTTTTCTTTCTTAACAAATATTTACATTATTAAGTTCCAGTTCATAATATCTTCTTAATTACTGTATAGAAAACATTTTAAAACGCAACAAAATAAAATACCAAAAGTAATTAATTTTCCAAACGACCAAATAAACAAAATGTTATAAATTATTCTTCGTTAGCGACTAATCGTTAAATTATTTAATGCTCATCAAACGCTCGTTGAACATAATATTTTAAACGCATTTAAGCACTCATTATTTATATTGAGTAATAAATTCCCGGTAACCATTATTTACATTACCATTTACATCCATTTTGCCACTTTAAAAACTTCAAAAACTGTACATAAATTAATTAACACATAAAACGTCAATAGACAATTCGCAACACCGCGATTAGAAACGCGGTTACATAGCATATTTACCAACCTACACAATATTTTTTTCAAATTAATGATTTATTAATAAAAGTTTACCAAAACAAAAAAAAATTGAAATTGACTTAAGTTAAGTCAAGTCTTACGCTTGAAGGCGTCATGCTTTCATTACTCTTTTTTTCGTCTACGCATTTCTTCGTAACATTTCTCCTCGTTTCAAAAAGAGCTACCTTTTTGACGGACACGGGGGTAATTAGTATGTTGGTTATCGATTATGAGAATTCATCTCAAGCTAAGGCTATGTTGAGAGCAACAAACTTTTCACTTTTTCAAATCTGTAATTTCACCTTGTTTTTTGTTGTTCTCGGCGGCCAAAAACAAGTTTGAGACGTTCAACAACATTCTTTTTTACAGTTAGCAAAATATTGTGCATTTTTTGAACGGAACTTCGATTTACATATCGAAGAAGTACGCGCAGTGGCAGCATGAAACGATAATTAGCATCCGAACGAAAAAGGAAAAGTTAATTATGAATCGGCGTAAATATGTAATGACACGGACGTGCCCCGCGCGTATTTATGAAGAAAGTGTATGGTGTGTGTGTGTGCATTTCGATCGTTTGCCGGCTGCAATGATTGTATTTATTGTCGTCGGGTCGGCGTAATCAAGTCATTGTTTTAATACGCTCCTTGCTCCTTGTTATTACTAACCGGCAGACCGCAATCTTCGAATGCAAATAAACCCACAACCGGCCCGACAAACGGCGTTGGCGTGACAAATCGCGTGACGGGTTTTCTTTAAATCTGATCACAAATTGAAAAATGGCATATATGCATTGTACACAGGTTGTTACATTAAAAAATAGATTTATTTTCGTGAAATTATTCATTTATTTAGTAAAAAATTATATTTTAATGTAAATTTTTAATTTACGTCAAATTTTAACTTGTAACGTCATTTTTTGATGAAGATATAAATTAAATTTATTATTTTACTTATGTTTTATGATTTTTTAGAAAAACTGATCAATAACAAATATTATTTACTTTAGAAACTTTAGAAAAACAAGGTTTTTCTACTTCTACTTTTAAAACGCCAGTTTTTTTTACAGTTTTCAGACAGAAAAATAGTGCTTTAAACACGAGCGGCCAAGGCTTTACTTTAGTACTTTAGTCACGAGTTTTAGTCACGGGTGCATTTGTATGGTCTTAATTAAACGCTCGCTACGCTCACTCATAATCAATCTCCTGATAAAAACTCCCATTTAGCTACTTGATGCTTAACATACTATTTAGTTATCTTTACTGGCTTGTGACGTCACTTTTAAGTAATTTCTGTGATTGGTCTAAAACAAAAATAAAATAAAAATGCGTGCGTATTTAATATTTTAAATTAAAATATTTTCAAAATGTGTTTCATTCAATGTTTTATGAAATATAATGACTTGAAATTTATTGTCATAAGCAGTGTATTGCATTAAATCATAAAAATCACAATGACGAGTTTAACGTGCTCAGTCACGAATTGTCATTACACATTTTCCTCTTTCGCCACCTGAGCGCACGCGGCCGCATGCCGCCGAGCCTGCAGGCTGCAGTTCCTCCTGTTACGTATCGTCCTGCTGCACCCCGCCTACGCGAATCACGCACGTTGGCAAATTTTGTGCACAACGAAATCAATTTCTAATCGCACGCCGAGAAAGACACCAAATTAATACATATAAACCACGCTGAAATACAAAGAGAAAGACAAACAAACGATTCGTCGTGTGTATGCACGCGCTGGTATAGTGGAAGAAAGCAGTGTGTCTTTAGGCGAATGTATAAAAGTATATTGCCGGCGAAGAAGTGTGCCAGAACGGTGCGGAGTCGCGAGCGGCGCGCGTGATACCATCCGAAGTGACTTTACCATCATTATCATCATCATTGGCACAACGCCAGAAATCAAACACAAATAGTCGCGTGCACAACGTCGAAACTAAAACATTAATTCCGAACCACTTTCAAAAAGTTAAAATTTATTAAATTTATATATAAAAAACAGAAGTTAAATATTTGTATGTTGGAATGTCATAGATAATTAACGAAACTTTCATCGTGTAATTAATGGTGGAAACACACTCGGCTATCAGTGCGAATTAAATTCAAATTATTTGCAAATCAGTTGCAGTTTAATTAGTGCTTTCGCAGTGTTGATGTGCATTTAATCAGTTACAGACGCACGACGTGAGAAGTGAGGCGAGTGAGAGTGATGATCGGATGTGAATAGCGCCACAAGTTCAAGTGGGACCTTCAAAGAAAGTTCAGCAAACACGTTGTAACCACTTTGAACTTGTAAAAACTTTTAGTGGTGTGTGACTTTTTTTTCTTGCTAGGTGAAACTAGGAGCAATTAGGCAATTAACAATAAAATGAAGGTAAGTGGATTATTTTTTTGTTATTACTAATAATAAATAAGAAAGTTACATTGAAATTAAAACAAAAAAAAATTCATCAAATCATCAAAATTTTTCGTGAAATTTTTAAGTTAAAAATGTTTTTTAAATTAATTATTTTTTCTTCAAGTAGAAAACGTTTCTACATGTCCTATTGTTAACACTGAAGTAGAAATAGGTGTAATATGATTTTTCGCATCGTTACTGTTCATAATCCGTTCATAAACTCCGCGGACAACAGAAACACTCAGAAAATTGAAACAATACCTACACCCAGACTGCCGACACTATATATTTTGTGTTTTTCTTTTACTTTCGTTTGCTTCTTCTTCATTTCTATTGTAATTGTTCGCTCAAACAGAAGGTGACAACGCTGACAAATTTAGATTTACTTTCGATTCGACTGCTGACGATTTTAATTTCGTCTGCATGAAATAAATTTCGTTTATGAATTTTATTCGCGCTCGAAATGGCTGGAGATGATAGACACTTGAGACTGGGAGAGTCGTGATATAAAAGTGCTTTTAGAAAGTAAAATCTGCTTAGAGCACGAGTTTATATACGCTCTCGGTCGTGATCTTGCGCTCCTTAATTTTCGTTTTCATTTGTAAATTCACTTTTTTTTCCAGCTAAACAAATTAATTCTGATCGTTGGTGTGCTGTGGTGTCATCAATTCGTGGAGATATCGACCGCGCCATCACCGCCATTCAAACCCAGTCAAAGACTGCCCGGTCCTTTGGACTCATCAGATCAACTAGCGATAGCTTACCTTGAAAAAGAAGCAGCGCGTGAAAAACGAGGATCTTCGGCTTCCGGCAGCGGAGATATTCTAAAACACATTAAGAAGTCCATCGGACAAGGCATCAAGAACAAAATCAGTCAAATTGCGAAAAGTTCAGCTGGTGCCAGTGCATACTTTAGTAAATCAAGCAGTGCCCATCATCATGGACCACCGGAGCATGGTCATCACATACCTTACCCACCACCACACCCACCACATTATTATCCAGTACATGGGCATGGATATCACCATCATGAAGATGTAATTATAAATTATATTAAATTTTAAACCCATTTATATTAATTTACACAAATTTTAGAAACCGTTTGATATTTTTGACTTAAAAAAGTCAGTGCTTTTCACCCTGCTGCAAGCAGTCAAAGCAATCAAAGGAGGTGTGATAGCCATCAAAGGACAACTACTGAAAGGTGGCGGTCATTTGCTGACCGCCAAAGGAAAACTGATTCGTGGAGGCGGTGAAGCACTCACAACGATCGGAAAGAGTATTGCTTTATCGGCCTTCCATTTGATGCCCGAATCACACGAAGATGACGAGGGTATCATTCATGAGGCACCAGGTATGAACTTTCATTTATACTGCACATTGCACATAATTTCCTTTTTCTACACGTACACCGGAACTACTCTTACTCTTACTTAGTTAGACTGATTACTTTTAAATTGCTCAATCGAAAAAAATCCAGAGAAACATGAAACACATGACAGACTTTTTACAAAAACTTAAAGCAGAAGAACATCCGGCTACAGGTTACGGATACTCGGCACCATCCGCCCCTGGACATGACATCCCAGCGAGTAGTTACGGCCATCCGACAGGGGGCGCTTATTATCACAATTCAGTGTACGACGGTAAGAAAACAAATTTCGCTGTATTTTTTTTTAATTTTTATGTGTTAATAACTACTTGAATGTGATTGTGATTGTGATTGTGCGTAAACCTAACGAGTAACTAGAACAATCCAACCCTCAATGGTCAGTGGTCTTGTTCGACTTGTTCCGCTCTTGTATCTTGTATGTGTGGGTGTGTTTGATTCCACTTCACGCTTGGCGACTTGGCGACTTGGCGTTTGTTAACGACCGTAATTGACTGCCACGACACCGAGAACTCTTCTTCTTCCACTGCTACTACTTTAACATGTTATTATTCTAGTCGAAGGCGTTTATACGATTTTTTTTGTGTGTGCAAAAAGCGAAACTGCCAACCTGGACTTAAAACACACGCTTACTTTACTTAAACCAACTTAAACTTATTTACTTTCCACGTGACACACATTTGATTTCTTTATATTTGAAATAATAAACTTTTATTAATGTATAACTCCTTAAAAACCACTTTAAATTGGTGATGGGAATGATGTTTTTGATACACTCAGTATTAATCTAATAATTCTGCACTGGTATTAAGGAACTTTCTATTGATGAACATAAATTAAATATGAATTTGGTGCACAAAAAAAATAAAAATAATCTAAATGCCCTTGAGAAATACTACTTAATTAGGTTGTTAAGTAATTACGATAATAAACTTTGAATATTTGCAACTGTCTAGTCCTTATCAATTCTTTTCGCACTTTTAACAAACAAACATTTTTCCATTCTCAATATTAACACCACAATTGTTGCTTGTTATTCGCACTAGAACTGAATATATTTGCATGTTGTAGTATATATTAGTATTACCAAATGTATATTCTGTAAATGTTGATAAATATGTAAATATGGCTAGGCAAACCACCGCCTCCACACCCACATCAACACGACGGACTAATCATACTGCGAAAAATACCGAAAAACCTGCGCCACCCGGGCGACAGCGACGGGGACCACACAAACGACGAACATCAACAGCAACATGAACAACATGTACAACATGAGGCACATGAGGAGACGCACCATCACCACCATCACGGTCAATACGTACAACAACACGAACAAGACCAACAAGACGTGCAAGAATCACAAAAAACACCCGCGTTCCGTCCCTTATCCGATGGGATCGTGCCCAAAATGAAAAACCTTGTCACCTCCGTTTTCCAGTCATCCGCGTATCCCACCAAACACACCGCATACGACAATACACCCAGTCATAGTCAATACAACGCCCAGTATAACATAAAACAGAATGTCGAGGCTAATCAAGCAAATGTAAAAGTTGCGCCGCAGCAAGCAAGTGTTGGGTCACTGGTGAATTATTTAGAGTATATTCGTGGTTTACAAAAGACTAAAACAGGTGCTGATAAAGGCCAAAAGGTATTAGAGAAAGGCGAAGCGGGAAAAGTGAAAAACGCTGTTTATGTCACCCCGGCTCCGCAGGTAAACGGAAAAGTGATTAAACAACAACATGCAGAACCCAATGCCCATGAATCACAGAATCAAGCAGCGCCTGAGGTTCCGGGTAATCAGAATCAAGTGTCCCCTGAGGTTCTCAAGCAGGAAACTGCACTGCTCGAGCAACAGTTGCAACAATTAGCTAGTTTACAAAACTTCCAACAGCAATTGCAATTGATTCATCCCTATGCTGCTGAGGGATATCAACCAGTTCAAGTTCAAGGCCCTGTTCAGGGTCAGCAACATCTTCCGAATCAAATTCAGGCAGGGCAATTAGATGCCCAAAACTATCCGGTCGTTTTAGATCTTCCCGGGAATATGGACCTAAGTTCACTATTTACTCAATATCAGATTGTCCCTGATGTCCCTCGGGATATTCAGCAGGTTCCAATAGTCAATAGTCAAAGTCAACCTCAACAATATCTTGAAGACCCAATGGTCGAAGCTGAATCCTCAAATATTCCCACCTTTTTGATTCATGTGCCTGATGAAGACGAAGTCGAAGAAGATAGATCTTTGCGACCTACTTTCAAACCCAAATCAAAGCGCCATTTACGTCCCCTTCAAGTTTCGCCAACTTCTCAGCGTCCTGTGAGCAAAGTAAAAAAGTTGTCACAATTGCAGCAAGTGCAATTGATGCAACAACAACTTTATCATCTGCAACCCCAAGCAAATAACAAAAAAACGACCAAACAAACTAAAAGATCACCTACGTTTGACGTAGTACGTTCTATTTCGTTTGAGATTGACCCGAATGGAGCAATCATAGCCAATAATTAAACTTGTTTACTGAATTAGGCAACCCAATATGACGGCGTGTAAATTTTTGACTAAAATGACCAAAATGACCCATTATATGACTGATTTACCAACGACAACATAAAATATTATTGCTTATTAACGTGTTTATATGTTTACGATGTATTTATTGTGCGCAGGTGGATACTACGAACGAGATAGAGCTTATAGGAGTAGGAGTTATGCCACCTTCGATCCGTACTTTTAAAAAACATCCTGTTATAGATGAAAATGATCGCCAGAGAAATCTTTAGTCAGATGGAAACGATGCGTTAGCTTTCACTTCTGTATATACCTTTTAGTATTGATATTGTAATTGTTTTACGGCGAGTTTTATCCAAAAGTGTCAAGAATTTTTTATTGTTTGTTTGAAAACTTTTACTTGTACACTATGTTTTATATTGCTATCACTTGCTATTACTTGTGACTTTGTTATGCTTTATTGTTAATGTTTATATTATTTATTTTTTTATTAAATACGAATAAAAACAATGAGACGAGTTTGAAATATTGTTAGTTCAGCATATTGCGCCAACTACCGGAATATAGTCGTACTAGAGTTTTAGAAAGTAGAAACTGGTTTACCAACAAGAAATAGAACGAAATATACATTTTTAAATAGTATTAGCATTGATTTATCTTAAATTAAATGTTTTTATTTATAAATATGAGTTTTATGCTGTTTTATGAAATAATTCAGATAAAATTTGATGTTTGAATTCGACAATGTCGGTAATACAGGAATTGTTTGGTAGTAAAAACGTCAGAAGTCAGCTGTATCAGCTGTGTTTGGTTCGTATTCTCCGTCCATTTGTTTTGCAGTGTGGTTTGGTGCGTCACGCTGATGCGTTGATTACGCCAGCAATAATTAAGCTCATCGATACGTTTGAACTTGTAACGTTTTTAAGTTGTGCACATTCGTAAGCGGCACGCCGCGAAACGTGCTACCGTGCGATTGGTATCACGCGGAGGCGGACGACGCGCTATTTCGCGACTCAACGAGATTTGGCACATCGCGTGCGTAATTCATCTCGAATTCATTGTAACACGATCCCGACAACTCCTACAACTCATCGCTTTGTTTGCATCAAAGAACGTAAGTTACAAACATTACTTGTGTTACAAACAAGCTAAATGTTCGACTTTTTCGCTAGAAAATCAATATCTTTAATTTGAGGCAAGTCTAACGGTAGTACGACCCAATAAACCGAAATGTTTCACGCTGGATTAAATAAATATTAAATAAATGTGTCTACGACGCGCATAAACGTACGGTAAATGTTTACACATCGTAAATTGTTGCTACTGCACGCGTTGTCAACAACGGCGCTTTCCACGTCAATTTTACAAACATATAAACACGAATGATGCAATTGGCAGCTGCAGTGGCGTCGCCCATTGTTATCTGAAGAATAGGCGTGCGGAGAAGCGGAGAGGAGGCTGTGCCCCAGAGGTAAATATGCGTTGGGTGCATTAATACACGGTGCGACGAGATGAAAGCCACACGACACCAAATTAGACGTGTCGAGCTAATGCAACGGAGCCGAAGAAAATATTCGGCTGGCGAACTGCGTTGGGCGCTGCAAGACTGAAGAAGTTGAGGATGGACGATGCCGAGGAGGAATTTGGCGATATTCGAGAGCAGATCTTTCATAACAACGTCCGGGAGCAAATTGTAAGTTGGTTTACTAAAGTAAAATTAAGGTTAAAACGAAAAAACTATCAAATTTGTGTTGATAACTTTAAAAATGCATGAATATGTATGCTGTTTTTAAGTTGCCAAGTTGCTAATGAGTTTTATAGCACATATAAATAAATTCATAAGGTAGCAACACATTTTATGCAATTTTAATGATAAAGTGTAATTTAGTTAACTCCAAACAAATAAATATGTGGGAGTATTTTGATTTTATGTTCACATCACGTTTTATTGCGAAAATTCATCAGTTTTTGATGAGAAAAACTATTTTTATTGATGTTACGCTTGTAAATTGTCATAAAACTGAAATTTTAATTAATATTTTTAATTTGCAATGGATGCAATTATATTTTATCGGGTTTCTTGACTGGTGTAACGACTGATAACGTTGAAACAGGTAATATTTGATTAGCTTTTTTCTGTCTCAGTTTACAGAGAAATGTCAGTTGAGTCATTTGTGTATACTTCTTAGGTTTCCACTTCTAAATGCATCAGATTGCAAAATACATTGGTTGGAATTTTAATATTAATTTGTTTTTAACTTTAAACATAAAGTTTTGTGTAGTATGAACTAAATTTATAATATTTTAGCTTTAAATCGCTGATTTTTTCTCTTAATTACATTTACATATTTATATTATGATGAAAATTATATTATTGCATGATTTGAACCAAAGCAAGCGATTAAAATACCATTTATTCATGTTTGCTGAGCCGTTGCGTGTTTTCTCTCCGTTGCATGGCATTGAGATTCAAAGCCACTGCTAAATTCAGACGTAAATCGCAGTAATCAGTTTTATATGTTACACACAAGCGTCGGATTACATCTGCAGCTCTGCCCAAACTACAAAACTATACAATTGCCAAAAAAGTTGTATGTTTTGACCATGAAAACACGTCCAACGCAGCGCGAATTGTTTTACCTGAATTAAAAATCAACTCTCATAATTCACATTCACATATTGTATTCGAAATTGATATGGGAAATAATTTTCTTTTAAAACATAATCAAACCCTAAAATAACATTTCCGAGTAAATTTTCATCTCACATGTGTAATAACATGTCTGTTACTCATGGGTTGTTGAACTCCCGCGTTGGTTGATGATGGCGGTGCGTGCGTGCATTCATGCTTTGGTATTTTACGCTGGGAACGTTTGCAACGCTCGTTTGCACTATTAAATAGGCTAATAATAATATAATCATACGACCCGCGCACAGTCGCACTGTGGATATTTATAGCTTCATGGTCAACTAACTTGAGGTGTACGCATTCGATGCAAGCGAATACAAAGAAAGAATCAAATGGATATATAGAGTAAACAAGTCAATCGGCTATAAATGGCGATCGGCGGCAAACAATGTGAAACAATGCGGAACATTGAATGAATAAATAACGGCGATTTACTTACCAGCCTCGTATTTAAATGTACTTGTTAATTGTTACAAGTCTTTCTTTTAACTTATTCTTGAAATTCTTATAATAATTGTTTAAATTTAACATTCAAGCATTTCCAGGTATACTCAACATTTTATAATCTAATCTTATCTATTATTACGTGTTTTGATGTAATCAGTTGTTAAACACGATAAAATTGAGTTGCATAAGTTTTGTTGCACATGATAATTACAATTATGCTATTTGCAAACGCTCAAAGTCTGTATTTTATCAATTTTATGACTAACACTTTAAAATTTCATTTATTGCAGATATTTCTCCTCCTATTTATAATCTTATACGTAGCGAGTTTCACGCTCCTGGAAAGATTTAAGCGTCGCGGTGTAGAGGACTATTACAGCACCGATAAAGATGAGATCACTGTGTATAGGATCAGCACGTGGTTATGCACGTTTGCTTTGTCGATTAGTATCGGCGCCGTGCTGCTTCTGCCCATATCCATCGTCTCCAACGAAGTGCTGTTGCTCTATCCTAATAGCTACTATGTCAAATGGTTGAATATTTCACTGATTCAAGGTAACAACAACCGTGAACAATTCTAATGTAGTGGAAAACTTTAAAGGTTTTCTTATCATAAAATATGCACACGTTGAAAATTTTATGCATATTTGTAGATTTGTCTTTATCTTGAATGTTTTTTTGTTGTTGCAGGTCTTTGGAATTACATATTTTTATTCTCGTTTATTAGTCTTATCATTTTTCTGCCCTTTGCGTACTTATTCACTGAGTCGGAGGGCTTCTTTGGACATCGGCGCGGTTTAATGGGCCGTATCTATGAAACCAGTGTCGTTCTAGGTCTCCTTGCACTGACAATGCTCGGAATTACCTTTGTGATGAACGCTATTATAAATCAACATAAATCCAGCTTTCAGATATTTCTCGGTAAGTCAATTTAGCGGCTTGACTGATAGCGGACATGATTATTTACATTGTTCGCTTGTTTCCGTATTCATTACTCAGAAATGATAAGATATGCAAACATCAGTATCAATATGTTTTGTTCTTGTAGATTTATGGAGTTATCATTTACCATTCCTGTACTCATGCATATCATTCGTCGGGGTGTTGATGTTGCTCGTCTGTACACCTCTCGGTTTTGCGCGGTTGTTTGATGTTGTGGGCAAGTTCCTTGTCAAGCCTCAATTCCTTCGTGATATCAACGAGGAGTACGAGTCTTGTGCGCTGGAGGAAGAAACGCTTCGGCGTCGCTTGAAACATGTGCAAGTGTCGGGCGATTGTTATATGTCACCCACGCCGATGTCCTTGGATGGACGTCCGCCGGTGCAGGACGACGAGTACGGATTTCCCGAGGGATTCCTTAGGCAACGCAACGGCGAACTGCGCAGTGGCCTGAGTCGTAAATTGACTGAAATTGAAGCAAAACGTAAAGTTCTAGGTGAGTTTTACGAAAGTTTTCCGGAACAAACGTTTAAATTGTGTTTTATTTTTGTGGTTTTAGATAAACAAAGGCAAACTTCATGGTTTCGCCGCAACGTGCTGAATCCAGTTGCAATGCTGTTGTTGTTTAGTCTGACTGTTTTAACGGTTTTAATAGTCATACAAAACACCATTCAACTACTGATAGGCATGAAAGCTTTGCCTTTAAGTTCTAGAGTAAGTTTTTTTACCGTTAAATATTTGTTCAGACATGTAACTAATGTTTTTTCTTGTAGCAATTTACTTTAGGTATAAGTTCCTTATCCCGTTTGGGATTATTTGGAGCAATAATAGAAATTGTACTGATATTGTACCTCATCGTCACGTCTTCGGTGGGTTTGTACTCTTCACCGCTGATGAAGAACATCAGACCTCGAAGGCAACGCACACCATTCAATCTTATCATAGCCAACTGCGCTTTGGTGCTGATTTTGAGTTCGGCTTTACCTTTATTGGCCAAAATTTTAGGTAAGACATCATTATTAAATTTTCGTGTGAGTTTTCATCATAAAATGCATTATTTCTGTTTAGGCATAACAAATTTTGATCTGCTGGGTGATTATGGAAGCATCGAGTGGCTGGGCAACTTCAAAATCGTCCTCTTGTATAATTTAGGATTTGCGGGCGCCGCCACACTGTGTTTATTCAACAAGTTCACGGCTAAGGTGCGCCGCGAGCTGTACGCACGGTTAGTCGAAAACTATGTGTTTCTCATCAGCTGCGTATCATTTCTAAACTAAAAAACGCTGCGAAACATTAGAATACTACTCTAACATGATAGCAATAACGCCATAACTTAAACTTCGCCTACATTTATAGCGGTTAGGTAACATACATCGCAACATTATTAACTGAGGCTTAAAACGCAAGACTGATATATTGGTACATTAGCATTTAACTAATCAATCAATACAAACCCTCTGGGTGTGAAGCAGCAATTGGTTTTTTCTTCTAGTTTTACCAATGTGTTGGAGCGAAAGAACTCGACTGATTGTCAACTTACTTTTGTGCATCCGGAATAAATTTAATTCTCACCCGCGTCACAGCGAATCTTTGTTGTAAAGTTGAGTGTTTGTAAATATATTTATTATTACTCGCGATGAGATTATGTGTTAAGTTATACTAGTCGCATATTGTTAAATTTTAGAAGACACTTTAGCTTTTACTACGAAATACAAGGATATGTATTCCATAAATATTGCGACAAATTTATTTTTATTTCTTTCGATTCAACTGTTCATAGACTGCACTTTTCATCCTCTCGGTTTTTATGGTTTCTTCCACTGTTTTATTCACTGCACAATTACGCATAGTGAATTTTTGTACGGCAACTAGGAAGATGTATCGGTGTACCTGGTTAAGACATGCGTGACGCGTGCATGTGTACTTGCGGGTTGATTTTCTCTCTCGAATATCGCGCTGTGAGAAATAAAACGGTCGAAAGTGCTTCAAATCCGGATTGTACGGTAACCAATCAGGAAGCGGCTGAATCGCAAGTGCTGTGCGCTATAACGTATGAAATTACTCAGTTATCTTATGATTACTATTAAAATTTAAATAAAACACCTTTATACGCATAAAATGGATAACATGACGAATTAGCATAGTAATAGCAAGGATCGATACGATGCAGATCACTGTCAACGATTCAGCATTTGAGAATTGATCAATTATTCCTTCAGTTGCCAGCACAAAGCCAATTAGTAACTAAAAAACAAATTTATATTTAACATTGTGCATGAAAAGATAAAATTCCTTACCAGACTAAAGAACACAGCCGAGTTTAACCAAATTATCCAAATTTGCGCTGGATATCTCGAATAAATAAACATGTGATCGTCCCTAAAACGCATCCATGTGTACAGAAACCTCAAAGCGAGCACAAAGAGTGCAAACATTAAGAGTACGCAGGAGTCCAACGCGTAACCAAAGCTTTCATCGATAAACTCCGAAGTTGCTTTGTAATAGTGTAAGCGCACCATTGTAAGACAACAAGCACATAGGGCAGCATTGACGAAAAACGGATACCGTCGAAATGCAGGCACTACTTGACAGATTGTTTGAATAGCTACTTGGAGGACATAGGTTGCACGCACGAAAACATTTATGTTTATTAAAAATAACCAAATGGTGACAAACAGAGGCCCGAATGATGATTCCGAAAAGAAATCTGGTATAAGAGCGTATACGAATGACATACCTGAAAAATAAGTATTTAATCTTCTTGTTTTCACAATTGAGTTGAGTACCTTCAATCGCAAAACACTCAGAATTCAATTTGTACTTTCTGATCACATTGAAAACACAAACCTGTCCGGTGAAATAAATTAACATATACCAGATGATTTTCAGAAGCAGGATTGCAAGCGTGGTTATTTCCGGGTCAGCGTTTTCCGGTTTCATACTTGCCACCCATATTAAGAAAGGTAGTCGTAGAAATGGCATGCAACGACTCAATAAATGTCGTAAAACCTTAAACCAAACAAAAAAATTTGTTATATTATTACTTTGTTTAGTTATCTCATTTAATGAAGCACGTACTTTTATGTCAAGAAATTTTTCGAAGGCATAATAGTGCTGAGATTCGTTATGGAATTGCAACCGAAACAGTATCACAATAAGACAGGCTATAACAATCAAAAGTGATTGACATACATGCACAACACATAAAAGTCTCTTGGTGCGAACAAAACCACTCCATGCTAAACCAAAGATGACAATCCACGCGAACACTGTGCATGTATACAACAAATGTGTCTCAATAGCATACTTCGCCTTGTCAACATAGAGCGCAGTCATCATAAACCTCATAAAGTCTTGACTTGCAAAATTCTCAGTACCCTCCCATCTTAAATGAGGCGAGGGACAATACATGTTATGATTAGTGTAGGTAGGATATGGAATGCACTTTTCCTTCCACAGGTTTGTATCAGCTGTGGTGCAATCCAGCCAGGTATCACGCGCCTCAATTAATCGAATGAGGCAACGCGTGCCCAAGTCTAAACTTGAACAAGCCCTTCCTTCATTGACTAAGAAGACTCCAAACATGCCTAGACCAACACCTTTCATCAACGGCATGGCGTTGAAAAACTTCAAATAAGTGAATCTTGTTATTCCAGCCATCGTCAGGACAAACATCATTATCGGTGCATCAATGAAGATAATTGTAAAGAGTTTAAGCAAAACTCCGATTAAAGGACCCAGTTCTTCCACCAAAGTAAAGTCTTGCAGGAGTTGTTCCAGGTATATGTCGTTAAACAGCAACAGAGCATAAAATTCGTAATAATTTAATATGATTGCTTCACTTTTAACTCCATACTAAAATATATTTTGGCAAAATATAAAATAAACAAGTGTTTTTGACGATTTACCTTAAAAATATTCTGCACCCTTTTTCCGAATCTTTTATACCATTTTATATGCGCATTTTCCTCTTCGTAGATACATTCCAGGACGGAATGGTCCATCCGATCCTGATACATTTTGATCATATCCCCGCGACGCATATCCCGATACTGTGCCTCTACCATATACATGTTTACAGGTAAACTGTACGCAATTCGCCGGCAGCATTTACGAGCGATTTTATCAACGCGGATTTCAGGAGTGATTGATGCATGTGAAGCAGTCATACCGAAAGCATCCGGCGTGGATACATCAGAAGCGATTGATATGTCTGAACCGTAGTCTTCGAGAAGTTTAATCATGGCGGACTCTCCCGTGGATGAGGACTGATCGGAAATACCTCCATCACTTGCGGTATCATAAGCCTCACTCTTTGCTAGATTTACATTTAATGCTGAATCTTCAATGGATGTTACTGAACTTGCGTTAGATGCCTTTTGATTATGAAATTCAGCGGACGATTTCATGAGTCTTGAACGCTTCTCGGCTCTCTTTTGTTCCATTTTTAGTTTAAGGACTAGCTCAGCTTCTTTTTGAGCTGTATCAGATAAAGTGGGCTTTTTGTCTCTAAATTTGTACATTTTTGGTTTGTCTAGTTTTAGTTTTTCAATCTTTGATTTGCGTTTTTTTTCTTTGGAAGAAAGCGTGTCCACATCAGTGGTTGAAGGTGAGGAAATATCAAAACCGGACTGTTTCTTCTTTTTCTTCTTGGACTTTGTTATGTCTCCATCGGACATTGTAATTGTTGGGATTTTAAAACTAGAACTTCTCTCAAGTATTGAGCGTTTTGTTAATGTATCATCAATTTCTTCACTTACGCTTTCACGTATAAATGCCTTTTCTTCGAATTTGATAATGCTCTTGAAACCTATTCTTGATTCACCAGAAGATGTAGATGTTTGTTTTTTTGTCATATCTGCATTAATGTTAAATGAAGATGTAACTTTTTTAATATTGCTGGTAGATGCTGAACTAATCGAGTCAAAATGTACACTAGAACGCCTTTTTTTCTTATCCTCAGTAAGAATTGTTATTCTTTTAGATTGACTATCCTTGGCCTTGCGTGATATTATTTCTTCGTCTTCTTTTTCTTCCGACCTAACTTCCTGTATACCTTCAAAACGAGTCTTAATAATACTCTTTACTGGTTGACGTTGTGGATGGAACACATTTTTCGTAGAATCAAGATCGTCTATCAATGTTATATCTGGAAAACTAGAGTTTTGTCTTATCGGATATACCGAGGCAGTTTGGTTTTGGCTAATAGTGTCCGAAAGTGTGTCTGGAGACAGTTCTTCACTAGAATAATTTAAGATGCTCGTTGTCGAATAAGATTTTGAGGAAGTTTTACGAGTATACGAAGAATCGTATGTTGAAGAATCCTTTGTTTTTGCGTCTGAGTTGGAGGTTTCATTAGAATAAGATGAATAGCACATTGTATTTGAACTGAAATTATCCGTTTCTTCTTCCAGCTCTTCAAAAAGAGTTTCTGATATTGTGGTTGATAACATTTCAATGTTTTCTTCAGTGTTGTAATCATCATAAGTAGTTTCATTTTCGGGTAAGTTATCTTCGGATTTTCGTCTTGTACGATTTTTTCTTCCTAAAATATTTGACAACTTTTTGATAAAATTCATTTTGATTATGTCATAGAAATATTTACGTTATACTTTGGAAATGCGTCAGACAATTTGAAAAATTTAAAATTTATTGATCAAAAAAAGGCAATCATAATGTTAGTTACTTAAAAAAATTATATTGATGAGTTCTACATTATCATTTATTGCATTTGTTCTTATATTGGTTGATATTACCTTAAATTAAAGCATTACTCTATCAGTGACAGTTGTAGTGAACGTTTCATTACAAAATGAAATCCTTTGTAAGAATATTAAGCATTTATTCTTTTCTAAGTGCATTTCCGATTGAAATTAAAGTAAAAAACACATTTTCAAGCCTTTATTCGCCAATAAAATTGTACAATATAAAAAATATTGTAATATCAACAATAATATTCCTAGCATTTTGCTGGTGCATCTTCAAAAAGTTATCACATGAACCAGTCAGCATTCAACAGCTAGCTGTAGCTGTGGCAAAAATTTTGGTCACAATTACCTTAATGTCCGTAATATTTGTAAAACGAGGAAAAGTCGCACAATTCTTAAATGGACTCCAACGCATTGAAGACGAATTTATAGCTTTGAACGTCTTACTATCACATCGGTACTTAAATATATATATATATAATTAATATTAATTATCTAAAATTTAATATTTTTAGTTTGGTAAAATTCTACGCCATCTTTAATATTATTTCAATGATAATATTTTCAATAGTAGCTGCAACAGTAACTTATCTCGACAGTATTTCATTAAGTATTGACGAATGGTTTACAACTTTGGTTTCCCTAAATTTCAGCTATGTCCTTATCACAGTTATGATGTTGCAAATGACGGTTTTTACTTATTGGATTTATCAACGAGTAAAGGTAATCAACGCAACTCTAACACGCATGAGTGTTTCACGAGACATTCAAATAAATCATCCATATCTACAATTTCCTTCATTAAAATGGAATGCGAATGGAATCATAACAAAAGATTGTGTTGATATTCTTTTATCTTTATCGGACACTCATTACGAATTGATTGCATTAACAAATCTGTTGGATGATATTTACGGTGATGGCATATTTGTGTTGCTCATACTGTTAATTATTGATTCTTTGCTTGTCAGCCACAAGATATTTGCAGATTATCAAAATAATGTGGATGTATTAGATGGTATTTTGGAAAGTTGGTTTGAATTGAGTCGAGTTATTTCACTTTTGGGTGAAATTACAGCTGTTGTTATACCATGTTCTAGTATTAAACGTGTTGTGAGTTGATTTAATTAAGTTGGTGTAAATGAAGTATTATCTAGCAATGATTTTAGGTAAAACGTACTTCGGAAATATTGAATATAATGCCCAAAACCAATTTGAAAAATGATGATGATGAGTTTAATGCAGAAAAGCAGTTTACATTTGAAAAGGAAATGTTTTTACTACAAAACTATCATCACAAAGTATCGTTTACGGTAAAAGGATTTTTCCTGCTAGATGAGACTATTTATTTAACAATCTTAGCTAGTGTTACTAGTTATTTTATTATCGTAATTCAATTTGAAGAAACTTATAATCAATAATTCCTTATTTGATTCTGGTTGTATCAAGTTTAAAAACGTATTGTAAGAAATTCAATGCCGAACTTTTTTGTTAAAATAATTTTAGTCGAAAGACAGGGTTGAATTTATTTATAAATTAATGGCTGATAAAATAGATAAAGTGTTGAAAATCTCGTTTTCTTGCGGCTTCTGTAATAAGCTGCGTAAATTTGAATTGTATATTCTTAGCATTATAAATATCAAATATCTAACAAAAAAGTGTGATTACTACCCAAACAAAGAGTCTGATAACAAAATATTATTAAAATAAAGTATTTAAAATCACGTTAACTTGAAGAAATTACAATAAAAAGTTTCAAGTTTTAATAATTTTTTTCTTCTTAAAAAATGAAGAGAAAATCAGAAATGCAGTTTTTCTCAATTTTCTCGCTGTATAAAATGAATTTAGAAAGTTGCTATGAATTTAATTTACAGTGCAAGTATGTCGTTATCAAAAAATGTAATGGAGAGATTGCGGTATCTGTGTTATCTGGTCCCGGTGTATATGTACATGAGGCTGCTGAGGTGAATGCGTTGGCGGGTCTCGTCTCCTTCGTATAAATGGCCTCTCGTCTGCTCGTTCAAAATATATGTACCTTGGGAGCGAAATAAACAATGTTGATTACTGGTTGTATGCTTTGTATATGGAATAGTGGCGGTATCTGCTAATTATTCCATTGATCACAAGTAGTTGGTTTAGCACCAGGTGCGGTTCAGCACGATGGGCTGAACGTACCAAGAATATTATCGGCTTAACCCGGGGGCGGTTTAGAACGAGGGTGTGAACGAAAACCTTACCGGACAGTTAAGCCGAAAGAGGTAAAGGAGACCACGGGCAGTTCAGCACTAGGGGCTGAACGTACCAAGAATGTTATTGGCTCAACCCGGGGGCGGTTCAGTACGAGCGTCCGAACGAAAACCTTACCGGACAGTTAAGCCGAAAGAGATAAAGGAGATCAGGGGCAGTTCAGCACTAGGGCCTGAACGTACCAAGAATGTTATCGGCTCAACCCGGGGGCGGTTCAGTACGAGCGTCCGAACGAAAACCTTAACGGACAGTTAAGCCGAAGAACCAAAATAACACTGTGTACCCAGTACGGAGTTTTTGAACCCCAGGGGGCAGCTCAGCACGTGGGACTGAACTACCCGAACAGTGGAGGCCTAACCCCGGGGGCGGTTCAGAACGAGGGTCTGAACAAAAACCTGACCGGACGGTTAAGCACTCGCGAAAAGAAAGAGAAATGTACACAGCGTTAATGAGCGTAGCCTTGGTCGATTGAGGTTAGGTATGAGTCGCATGATGGCTGTTAGTATCAAGTGGAGTTCGTAATGTAATGTGTTTACTCATACCTTGTAGCAGTAGTTTTGGGTAAAATGGAATACTGTACCGATGTAGTGTTCGTGTGATGCTGGCACAAAACGGAATGAGATGAGTTCGTGAAAAATGTTAATTGGTACCCCAATCATTCATCCTTGCGAGGGGAGTCCGTAGTGTTGGCTGGTACCCCAGTAGTTCGTCCTGGCGAGGGGAGTCCGTGGCTCCACCCCTAACGGTGACTTTGTGAGTCATTTAGTGGTCTGATCGCGTCAAAAATTGGCGGAGGGTGATTCTTCTAGGATTTCATGCTTATGGTATTTGTTTGCTAAAAGGCTTATATGTATTCAAGAGAGAAATGATAATTTTTTAATGTTAAAGTTTTAACACTCGCAAACTATTAGAGATAATAAAAAATGGTTTTTGGATTCGAATTTAGGGCAATACTTTACATTAAATAGTACACAAAAAACCTAAATTTTCAATACTTATGTAATAAGTGAAAATGGTCATTATCTTGGAAACTATTTAAGATACCGCAACCAAACCTGGATTTATGAATTCCTGGTATCATTCTACATCTGATTACTAAATTTCAGGGAGGGGGAGGTTTTATTTGGTCAGCTTTGAATTAACCACACATTTTCCGAAATATTGATGTTATCGGAAAATTGACTTTATATCTTTCATCCCCTTGGAAAACTCAATCAATTCGCGTTTTCAATTTTCCTCTAGCGTAAAAAAATATTTTTGCGCCCAAAAGAGTCAAGTGTAACCTCTTGATCTTTTTCGAGTGGTCTTTGGTCAACTGTGGAAAATGGAAAAAATAAATCTGCCATTTTGTACAGCCCTATCACGGCATGAACAAAATGAAGAAAATTGTTTTCTAACTCTATTACTTTTCAAGAAAATCGTGTCGGAAAATTTTTTAGCCATATGTTGTAATTGAATTTTTTTTAGTTATTTATCTAGGAATTAATAGTGAGCATCATAGTTCTTTCGGTTTTTATTTATTTCTATTAGTTGCCGAGATAATAATTTATCATTAAGTCTTGTTGCGAGTACACATTTTACTTAAAGCCATCTACAGGGAAAACTCTTAGTGTTGTTAAATAAAAAGTTGCATTAATTAGGTAATTATGAGTTGCTTGGCACACTGGCGTTATTAGTTTTTAATAAATATTAAAATAACTAATTATAATACCAGGCTCCTCCGCCAAAATTTGTACTAATTAATAATTTAACTTAATAAATTAATAAATCCAATATTCGATTACTTATTATTAAAGAGGACCGTTTTATTGGAAGATTATTCTAGTAAATAATTATAATTTGACGGTCAATTTAAAAGAATCAAGACAAAAACAGTTAAAAGTAATTTGATCTAAATGTAATCTTTACAACCCAATAGGGCTTAAACAAAGCATGATAGGAGAAACTATTACTAAGATTAATTTCTTAAATTTAATTGTTTGTTTAGAATCCGTAATCAGAAATTTAAAATTCCAACTTTTAATTTTAAATAAAAAAAGTGAAGAGATTTCTTTTTTTATTTTGAGTATAACAAAATCTTTTCTTTAATTCTTTTTCTGCAAATTTGGTTGTTTTACAAAAAATATGCCCTCATATAAAGAATTCCTTAAGGAACAAGAATATGAAGTCCTTTTAAGCCTAGCCCTTTTAGTTTTTGATATAATCGCAATTTGATCTGTTAAACTTTTTGTTGGCGGAAGCGCACTTCAACGGACTTCGAGGGTTTCAACAGGAAAAAATTTGAACAAATTCTACTCTACCTGTTATTTTGCCTAAAATAATTTTTAAGAGACAAAGTTTGTTGGTAGAGCGTGTAGGGTTACAACATGACGCAGAGAATTGATCAAGTACTTAGAGTTACTCGAGAATCTCTAGTTGCACGCTTCTAATTACGCACTATAGGCAACCAAATGTACACAAGGAAATAACAAGTACAAAACAAGAGCATTTTCTTTTATAAAAATTTAATTTATTAAATCGCCTACTTAAAGATAACAATCTCAACAGAACACATGTAAGAGAAAGGAAAACATACGTAGCAATCAGTGTATAACAATCATTTTTGTCGCACATTACACATCATACACAAGACTTTTTTTTACAAATGAATGGATGGTGATTCTTTGATGAATGATTAAATGCGTCGCATTGAATTTGAACAACAAACAATCGCCCAATTGAAAAAAAAACCACTCCTCCGACTGTTTGACAGCCGCATTTCGCTAGCACTTAATTAAGTCAGTCTGGTGGCGCTCACGTTAATAAATTAAGAGATATATCACCGACAGGGAGTTAATTGCTCACAAAACATATCTTTGTGCCTTGGTTGTTGTTGCCATTATTTGGGGAAAAGTTATTAAATAAATTTGTTTCAGTCTTTGTGGGCGCGGCGCGGCTGGCTTACAGTTCATCCTTGATGTCATCATCGCCATCAGCATCGGGCGTCGGCGGTGCACCACCCTGTCCTTGATACAACTTAGCAATGATAGGCTGGACGACATCTTCAAGCTCCTTCTTGTGCTTCTTGTATTCCTCGGAGTCGGTATCTTGGTTATCCTCCAGCCATTTGATCTGTTCATCAATGGCTTCTTCCATTTTGGTCTTTTCTTCATCAGACAGTTTAGAACCAAGTTTTTCCTTGTCTTGGAGTTGATTCTTCAGGGAATACGCGTACGATTCCAGCTCGTTGCGAGCCTCGACACGTTCTTTGAGCTTTTTGTCTTCATCAGCGAACTTCTCAGCGTCCTTAATCATTCTCTCAATGTCCTCTGGTGTGAGTCGGTTCTGGTCATTCGTGATGACAATCTTTTCTCGGTTACCGGTGCCCTTATCCTCGGCGGATACTTGCAGAATACCATTGGCGTCAATTTCAAAGGTGACCTCAATTTGAGGAACGCCTCTGGGCGCTGGGGGGATACCAGTAAGGTCGAATTTACCCAGCAAGTGATTGTCCTTTGTCATTGGACGTTCACCTTCATACACTTGGATGGTAACAGTGTGCTGGTTGTCGGAAGCGGTAGAGAAGATCTGCGATTTCTTGGTTGGGATGACAGTGTTTCTCGGGATCAACTTAGTCATGACACCGCCAACGGTCTCAATACCCATGGTCAAAGGATTTACATCCAACAAAACGATGGCGTCAGTATCTTGTTCGCCAGAGAGGACACCAGCTTGTACAGCGGCACCATAAGCAACAGCTTCGTCGGGGTTGATGCCTCGAGATGGTTCCTTACCATTGAAGAAGTCCTTGACCAATTGCTGAACCTTGGGAATACGCGTTGATCCACCAACGAGGACAATCTCATCAACATCCTTCTTGTTCATATCAGCATCCTCCAATACTTTCTGTACTGGTTTCAATGTGGAACGGAAGAGATCCATGTTCAATTCTTCAAACTTGGCGCGAGTCAGAGTTTCGGAGAAGTCGTCACCCTCGAAGAAGGATTCAATTTCAATCCTCACTTGATGCGATGCAGACAAAGCTCTCTTCGCCTTTTCGACTTCACGACGCAGTTTCTGCACAGCGCGATTGTCTTTGCGGATATCTTTACCCTTCTTCTTCTTGTACAACTTGATGAAGTGGTCCATCACACGCTGATCGAAATCTTCACCGCCCAAATGAGTATCACCATTAGTGGCAACAACTTCAAAGACTCCGTTGTCAATGGTCAACAAAGACACATCAAAAGTACCACCGCCCAAATCAAAGACCAACACATTTTTCTCGCCGTCTTTCTTATCGAGACCATAGGCGATAGCGGCAGCAGTTGGTTCGTTGATGATTCTCATCACGTTCAAACCAGCAATAACACCGGCGTCCTTGGTGGCTTGACGTTGAGCATCGTTGAAGTAAGCGGGCACGGTGACGACGGCATGCGTTACCTTTTTACCAAGATACGCTTCAGCGGTTTCCTTCATCTTGGTGAGCACCATGGCGGAGATTTCTTCGGGGGCAAAGACCTTATCGCCCTGACTGGTGGCAACGGAAATATGAGGCTTGGAGTTCTTCTCCATCACCTTGAAGGGGAAGAACTTCAGATCGTGCTGGACATTGGTATCGGACCATTCGCGACCAATCAGACGCTTGGCGTCGAACACGGTGTTCTCCGGATTGGTGGTGAGCTGATTCTTCGCGGCGTCGCCAATAAGACGCTCATTTTCGGCAGTGAAGGCCACGTACGAGGGAGTGATGCGGTTACCTTGGTCATTAGCGATGATTTCCACGCGTCCATTTTTATATACACCAACGCTAAAGAAATAAATGATTATGATTGACTGTGAAATCATATTTTTAAATATGACTTACCATGAATAAGTTGTACCCAAATCGATACCGATTACGGTGCCGACATCGTCTTTATCTTTTTTCTCGTCCTTGGCGATGACGCCGACGATGAGGCAAAGTGCCCCCAGGAATAACGTCAATTTCATCGTTTACCCTGCAAAGACAAAAACAAATCGCATGTCAGCTTAAGTTGAATTCAACCTTCATTGAAGACACGTCGGTGTTTTCGGCACAATCCCGTTAAGTCCTCGATAACGGTACCGCAGCAACCGGTCTGAGTACGTGTACAATATGTCAGAGAAAAACGCGAATCGTGCGGCGATTTGGAACAGTCAACCGATAATAATCCTCTGAATATTTCACTTATTGCAGTTTGCGGTCTACCTAACCATTAACATTGACTTGCAAATGAGTGTGCTGACGTTTACAAAGCACGCACCTCGCAAATGGAAACACACTCGCGTTTATTACTTGAAATTAAATAACTTTGTTTGAATAATACTGTAATTCTGTATGTACTTACCGTTTTATTGTATTTCACTAAGCGTTACGTTCAGTATGGGACTCTTTTCACTCCGAAATGAGAGAATCTCCGTATTCTACACTTCGCAACTGACTCGCTGTGACTGATTGTCGGTGTGTCTCCGGCGGCCGGAATATATGTAGAGAATTCGTCGTGTTGGTCTCTGATTGGTCGGAATTCAAACGGTACGCGGTGCCATTGGCACGTACCGGCATAGCTGGCCGGCGCTGATTGGTCCACGTCAAAAACGTCCAGAAATTACGGTTTGATATAGGCAACTCCTTATACACGGACATAGATTTGTGCAGCGTGGCCGTTGTAGAATCGTTGGAATTGTAAGTTGGATAAAGTGGAACGAGTGGGAAGAAGAAACGTGGATATTTTACGCGATGTACACGTATACATGAACTTGAAAACTCATTCAACGCGGCCAAGCGGATAACGGTAGTATGCATTTTTTTTATTTTATTTTTTATTGCGTCAGCCGACGCTTTTATTCAAAACCAACCCATTGCGTTCACTTTGTTCTCAATAAACCATTTTTGCAACCCTAAGCAAAATAAAAATTGCACATTGTCATTGCACAATTTATTATTTGACTATTGCAAGTAACGTTTGATTGGCTTGCATTTATTCAATCCAATCAAGCACTTGCGGAGTATAATACGAAATAATTACGTCTGCGCCAGCACGCCTGCAGGAATGCAGGACTTCCATAACGGCGACTTGCAAGTCAAAAGCGCCAGCTTTCGCGCCATGATACAACATGGCGTATTCGCCGGAGACTTGATAAACAAACATGGGATGATGCGGGAAGGCGTCCTTCACTTGACGTAGTAAATCCAGATAAGCCAAAACTGGCTTAACCATGAGCATATCAGCACCTTCATGGACATCCCTTTCAGCGGCGCGCATGGCTAAGCCTGTGCTGTTTGGCGGCAATTGGTAACATTTTCTATCGCCAAACGAAGGTTTCGAACACGCTGCATCCCTAAAAGGTCCATAAAATGACGATGCGAATTTTACTGCGTAGGATAAGACAGCAACCTTGTTGCCTAGATTGTTGGCAATCAAAGCATTCTTAATTGCGCCAATTCGACCGTCCATCATGTCTGATGGGGCTACTACATGAGCACCTGAGGAAAATTAGTTTATATTCAATATTATCTTATTGAATACCATTTAAGTTTTGTTTTACTCAAGTACATAAACATTTTATTACCTGCTTTAGCATAATTCAAAGCAATTTCAGCAATTCTCTTGATAGAAGGACCATTATTAATGGTTCCATCTTCATGCAGAAGCCCACAATGTCCATGATCACTGTATGGACACAGACAAACATCACAAGCAATAGTTAAAGTAGGAAACCATTCCTTGAGTTTTGGCAGTGCTAAAATCACAGGATTCTTCTGACTGTCTGCATTTGTTCCATTGGCATCTTTGGGTAATTTATCAATAACTCCAAACAAAAGAATTGAAGACAATCCTTTTACTATCAATGGTTCCAAGTGTGTCTTTAGTTTATTTACTCCAAACCTTGAAACTCCTGGCATACTTGCAATTGGTTGTATTACATCATCTTCTTCTCTGCAAGAAGGTTTATCAATGAAACATGTCATGATTTTGTATAAGTATACAAAGTTTTACTTAAATACTTACATAAGAAAGACTGGATACATTAAATTGTGAGGATTTAATGTACAATTGGAACTATTCCATCTTCGAAGAGTGTCATTGAACATTCCACTGTGTAAGATATGTTTCTTCTCCATCTTTAAGACTTTCTAAGCAATTGAGTTTAAAAATTGTAAAAATCGCTGGTCACTTCATCGAACTTATGCAATATATGTAAAGTAAAACTTTTGTAACATAACCTTGAAATAGCCGATAATCTCAAGGATGTTTAACTATCAATCATAAAAATATTCTACGTGTCATCGCAAGGTTGACTTGCAATAAAGATAAATTGGGATTTAGAAGAATCATTTCAGTTTGAAAATCTTGATAGCTTAGTCATTTTTATTATTTTTTTATACAAATATTATCATCCATGATAAGATTGATTGTTAAGGATTAAGAATTATTCATTTCCCTCAATGGCAATTTCAGTAACAGCTCTAACATAATGCGGCCCTTCAATAACAAACGCCTCAAACCTTCTCTTCGTTTCTTCGTCGAAAACCCCAAAATCATTGTCATGCAAACTCTTCACCAGTGCATATTTTTGATCTTTCGTAGATTTAAAACTCTCCGCGCCTCTATCCAACAACAGCTCAATCAATGCTGGATAAGTTTTAATTTTATCCTGTCCCCAATTATGCATAGTAAGTGCAGTCAACACCTTCAGTCCGGCGAGTCTCATCTCCTCAAAAGGATTCTTGACATAATTCATAATCAGATCCATTGCGTTCTCCCCGAAACTACTGAACCATTTGAGCGCAATTTTCGAATCATTTTTGACACCATTTTGATGATGAATCGCTAGTAGGTCCTCCAACCATGTTAAAACTAATAGTTTGACTTCAGTTGGGAAGGTCTGCAGGCGTTCAGCCATTGATTTCAACGCGGAAATCATCTGAAAACCGACGAATGAGTCCAGCACGAGTTTATCGCTACGACTTATGTATCCGAGAGTTTCTAACGAAACTTTTAAGACAGTGTAATCCGATGACGATAGATTATCAAATACTTTGTTTATTACTTCGGGATATTTTTCAAATGCCTCAGCTGGTTTACACTCCGCCATGTGGCCGTAGAATTTCAATATTCCTGGTTCACACAGTTGCAGGAAGATTGGATCGGCTTCATTGATAAATAACCGGAAGATTTTATCGATAAAACCTTCGCGTTTGAGATAAGCATAGCCATAATCCTTCTGGACGAGTGTTGTTAGCATTTCAATGATGTTCAATCTTAATAAAACGTCGTTAGTGTTGATCTCTTCAAGCATTGGCGCAAGTAGCCCGCGTCGTACGATACTCCCGTGCGCAGTTTCGCTTTCCACCGAGATTGTGATGAACAATTCGTAGAAGCGCAAACGGACGACTTCGTTCTTCGCCATTGTCTCTTTCATGATTTGTATAATATTGGCGCTTAGAATACAGTCGGGATTGAGTGCGGAGAAGCTCGAAACGATGCCCACAGAACGGGCACCTACTTTGAGATCATCATCACCTATACATTTGACCACATTGGCGAAAATATTTGCTTTGCACAGATTGTTCACTAATGTGTTCCTTTGTTGGGAAGAGCAGTTGAGAATTCTGGAGAGTTCATCTAGGGCCATCACCTTCACACCTGGATTGGGATGAGTCAGAGCCCTTTCTAAGGGTATTGTGTATCTTAGGGCTGCTTCTCCAATGTCCAACTTTTCCATGCATAATGATAAAACTTCACATGCAAGATCAACTTGTTCTCTGTGAAAAACAGATAACAAATGTATTTAAATGTTACTTTTTATGTGAAACGAAAACACTCACTGATTAGAGTCATTCAGGCAGTCAAACACAAGAGGTAGTTCTAGAAGTTCAGCAGTTTGCATTGCTTCAGTGTCCGAGATCCCCTCAAAGTGGGTTTTGATTTCATTTAAGGTGGATATACGAAGATCTTCGTTTAGGAGCTTCGACAATTTGTCGGCACACCATTCCTCTCTCGTTGCCATCATTAATTATTACAGATAAAGTACAGTGTATTCGTTGTGAACATGAAACATGAAATTCAAGTTTTGTTGATTTTGCAGTCTAATGTTATGTTGTACATTGGGGTTAACCCGGTTAACCAATTAAAACGGTGTGGTAACATAGGCAACTTATTTCACACCTGTACTTTCAGTGTTAGCTAAGTTAACTTCTAATTTGATCAATAAATTTAAACATGTGAAACTTGTGATATTGATCTAATGTCTATCTAACTGGCGATGAATAATATAACTAATAACGCCATGGAATGCGGGGTGTGCTAACAGGACGTCGTTTTGGGGATTTTTGTGAGTTTCTCGACGCTGGTCGACTTTGCAGGATTTTTCTTTGATTCTCTTCAACAGTTTCCAATATCGTGACGACTTTCCCCATCATCGCCATTACGTTCTGCATCTTCTGAATATCCACCACTTTTTGCACTTCTTGCATCTCGTCACGCAGCTTCTTCTGATAATAACAATCATGATAACACATGTTATTACTTTTAGAACAATGTAGAAAGCTTGAACAAAGCTCAAAAAGCGTGAAGTTTTACTTTTACCTTAAAATACTTTTAGATGCAAATTGCGAGGCTGAATTAATTAATTATTTTATTAAACTACGGTGCATCGTCGAATATCAGGATATAATTATTGTTTATTGATATAATCTTACGTTCTGTATAGAAATATTTCAATAATGATTTAATTCATAAAACTTAAATGTTAAATTAGACTTACATTACGTATTAACATTGTAAACTTAATAAAGAGGGTGTAAATATCTTCTAATATACATGGTGTCACTGTGTTTATCTATAGTTCAACATCAACTTCAATAGAAATGATCGATTTGATTCTTTTAAACACACTCATTATTATTCGATAAGTTATTACTCTTATTAAATGTACTTTTAGTGCTTATTTCAATATCGACTAAATTTTAGTTTCAATTTTCACACTTACAATCAAATTTAAATATTTCTATTTTACTTATTGTTAAATGAATGCAGAATGTGGTTGATTTAGGTACGTGATACACATACACAGATTATTTAGTTCCTATAGTTGATATTGTTTTTGGTAAAGCTTGCTAAACGTCGACTTAAAATACATCTTTTTGTTTACTCGGTGAAAAAATAGATTTGCTGCTACTTGTTGCCAAACATCCATTATTGTGCAAACTATTTCGCAACACATTGAAATTTCCCAATTGGTACGAAGCTAATTTCATAACAAATTTAACAGATTCTCATTCAGTTCAAAATTTCATCGGTAATAAAAAGCTACGTTATTTGTTTCAGTAAATAATTAATATTAATTTGCAACATCAAATTTTAATGCCTATCGAATGTAATTGTTTAATGGAAAGGTTATATAGGTGTGGTGGAGCTATCAAAATGGCGGATTAGTTTTCCCTGTTGAGGTTCTCATCGGAAATCGGCTCCCTGCTGTCCGAGTGCTGAGAGTGCTGGGACGGCAACGAATTCTACGAGTTGTTCAAATTACAAAGCGTGATCATCGACAACAGAACGTAAATAAGAAAAAAAAACAATATGTTTATCATCCGCGGTACAGCTCAATCGATAAAATATGACCAAACATGATGTTACATAACCTTAAAAGTGATGAAAACAAGTGAAAAGCCTATGGTCTGCGACTAAATTTACTAGAATCAAACTTAGGAGATTGAAACATAACGAAATTAATATATTTCTCTGAATAATTTAAGGTTTGCTATCGTTGGTGACGAGACTTGCCTGTGATCCGCACATCGAATTGTTTTCGTTGGACATGGCGCCGGCTGACATTTGTCGTAGGTATTCTTTGTCGTCGAAAATCTTCTTTTCGCCGCCGCCTGGTCTATGCTTCACGTTGTCCAACGATCCGATTTTACTCTCGGCTTGGATTTCGATCTTTCTGTCGATAATCTGTAATATTTTCTGTGTTAGAAAATTGCTCAAACTGATTTTGTTTATAATTCCAAACAACATTTACAGCAGTTTACATTTTTACAGTTTGTACGCTCACAATTTGTGCGAAATAATTGTTGCACCTAAACAACGTATACAACGCGTGTTGCTTATTATTTTAGAAAGTTGAGTTGTGCCTAATTTTGCTTTCTTTTTTTGGTTTCTATGGGTACCTTTACAGTTTTTTCAGCCTCGTTGTGCTTCTCTTTAGCTGACTTAGTCACTTTCGTCACGTCGGAATGCAAAATTCCATTCTGATGTCATTTTGACAAAATTTTTGTATTAAATTTGTTTAGGTTTAATTTTAGTGTTAATAATATTACCTTGACATCACCACCACCTGCTACGTGTTGCATATTATCCTTGGATCCAACCTTTGACTTAGCTTTATCCTTAAAGTCCAACTTCACTGTTTCAATCTTCTTTTCACCGCCTTTTGGTTTATGGTTGGCATTTTCAAGAGAACCAATCTTGGACTTTGCATTCCATTGAAGTTTTTGGCTTAAAATCTTCAAAAACAATTAGTATTTTTATGATAGGTTATGTTGTTGTAACCTTTATATACTAACCTTTTTATCTCCACCGGTAGGAGTGTAATTTTCGTTCTTTGCACCGATTCTTGACTGCGCCTTAGAAACATCGATCTTTTTAGTTTCGATTTTAACATTGCCCCCGCCTGGTTTATGACTAGCGTTAGCTAGGGATCCAATTTTCGATTTCACTACCTTCAAGTTAGGAGAAGGTGCAGCACCGACTTGGATCTTATTCATTGGTAACTCTATTAACAAAAAAATTATATATTTTTTTAATTATTATGTTAGCCATGGTTTAATTTGTATAAAAATTACTTTTCCGTTCAGTAGGTCCTGGAGTACCAGGTTGACTGTCCGGACTCATCAGATGCGGTGATCTCGACCCGCGAGAAAACGATCTGTGTTTCGTGGGTGTAGCCCCACCCGACGGGCGGCTCCCATTTCGGCTTGATTTGCGTGGGGTGCGGTCACCATTTGTGGAGTGGTCCGCTCCCTGGGTGGACTCATCGACACCGCTGTCATTGTCACCTTCTGAAAGGTTACAGAACAATTACCACTTCATCCATGGTTTAATTCAAGAAAGAAATTATGCAAAACAGATATAGAACCAACTAAAACAACAAACAATAAGCTGTAGGTATTATATGTGAACCTTTTTTGTTTCTACTAGGTGTCCTCGCAGTGGAACCACCTCTTGTTGGTGTCTTCGGCACTCTTGGTGGTTTATTATCCGCATTAGATTTAGGTTTTTCTTCTAGTTTCTTGACTTCAATCACGCTTTCTGGTTGTGGACTTGGTGAGCTTGAGATTTTACTATCCAATGAGCTGTTCAGCTGTAAAGTGCTTGGTGGTGCATTATCAGTAACTTGTATTGGAGCAACCGGAGAAGTTTCAGACTTTGGTACGTTCTGAGCATTTTGTTGCGGTGGTACAATGGGTGTAGGGCTTGGATTCTGAGCTGGAGGTGGACTTGAAGTTACAGTCTGTGGTTGTTGCACTGGTGGTTGAACCTGAGGTTTAGGTGGAGCCACTACCGCAGGTGACATTTCTGGTGACGATATCTTTGGATTTTCTTTCTCTTCATGTCTTTCGTTTGATGGTCCCGTGTCGGACTCCAGCGTTGCGCTCCGATGCAACTCAGGAGGACCTAAGTTTCCTTCCTGACTGCGTTGAGTTGGCAAAGCACCAGCAAAAGACTGTTGTTGTGGTAGTCCTGGACCAGGTGGACGTTGTCTAATTGGTGGCCCTTGTACTCCTTGAGGTCCAGGTGGACCTGGTGGCCTGAAATTAGGCCTGACTGTTCCAGGTGGATTTACAGCCACAAATCTCTGTTGAGGTCTAAACAATGGTTGACCCGCCGGAGGTCCTTGTTGGTTTGGATTGGGTCCTTGACTTCCAGGTGGAGCAAATCTCTGTTGTTGGTTTTGTTGCAACTGTTGTTGTATCTGTTGTTGAAAATTCGGTGGTCTAAACTGTGGTGCCTGTCCAGGTCCTTGTCCTTGAAAAGGTCTAGGTTGACCTTGGAATTGTTGTGGTTGTGGCTGGGGACCACCAGGACCACCTTGGATACGACTATCGTTTCGTTGTAGTGGTGGTCTAAAGTTCTTCAATAACATCACATTTAAAAGAAAAATTAAAGGTTTCTTAAAAAGCGAGCTTGATACAAAAATAACCCGACATATCATTGTTATTTATTATTGAGTCATTTCGCTGTGAGTTATGGTGATTTGCTAAGTTGTATCGTTGGGAGAGTCGTTATGATACGTGCGTAGTGGAACAGGTATAACGGGGTGATATCGCCGAGTTTTCGTTCTTTTTCCCGCGAGAAAACGCGAGAAAAACGAAAAACATGTCGGCGCAAGGACGCCGGGGACATAGGACCGCGTCCAAAACTAGCACACCCCTCAACAGCAATTCAATCTAATCTAGAATATTTCAGAACTAACAAAAAATCATGAGCTACGACGACGAGCACACATCCTATTGATTTACGCTAACAGTTTTAATCACAAAATACTCGTAGTGAGGGTGAGCAAGGATTCGAATCGAATAAATGGTGCCCCAAATGGGGTACATTTATTGATAGACTTCTGAATGTCTAGCAAACATTAACCGAGTTTTTTTTAATAAACCAATCGATTTTATGCGTTTTATTTTGTTTCGTTCTGTTCTACTTGTCTTTGAACTCAAGTTTGTATTGCTATTTTCCAATTTTACTTTATAGCGTATTTTATTGCTGTCATCTTTCATATGACGTCCAAAGCAATAAATCTATTTAAAAATTTATGGATTTCAAATATACCTGACTGTAATTTTCATTAATATTCAATTGTGTTTTCCGACGATTTTCTATTATTATCCACAACTGTGTAATAATTTATATAGACGACTCTTCCGTGAGAATATTTATAAATTTTCTTCGTTTTTCTTTACTTACTTGATTGTTAGGAGTGTTTGGATTGTTAATCGGCGCTTTTTGCGCTTCCTTAAACGCCATGGTCAATTCACCAGTTGGGCCGTTCAGAATCGTATTGCTTTGCGGCTGATTCATTTTAAAACTTTAAAAGGAAAAGTTCAAGCAAGTCAATTTTTATTTGATTATTTCTTTAATTGCGTGCCCAAGTGTTGTCTAAATCAATTGCTCTTAATTTAATATTTCGTGAATTAATTGAATAATTGCGTTCATGTGACGAGTGTTAATTTGATGTACGTGAAGGAATGTTGGCGGAAAAGTTGAAAACTGCATGTGGCTTGAATATTATTGTGATTTATTGCACTTTTAATCTACTCCAACGAATCTACATCATGTAATCTAGTTTAGTAATTGCTTAATTCGTTTAGGCGCAAATTGTTGCTTTCCATGTTTGCCAAAAGCAAGTGGGATCAATCAACACGTCACCAACACGTGACAAACCTAGTGAATTTCTACATTTCTACCATCTGATATTTACGTGTAGATTAATTACAAGACGCAAAACAAAAACAAAACTTTTTGTAACGTTACAGTCAAGTTTATGTTGTTGTTCATTTCCGGTTGTATTTAATATATGCATGTGTGGGGAATCTAAGCTTTTACATTACAGAGAAAGTTCTGACATGAAGCTAGCGGGACGATCATAAAATGTCTGCAAAACTTACGCCAACAAGGTGCAAACAAAAGTGGAATATGTTCGGCGCGCGTAGATTGCAGATATGCAGGTGTGTGCTTTCTGGTTTATGTTGTAATATTCAAACTATCGATTTAACAAGAATCTCGGCGTAGGACGCGACGATAAAAACGTGATTCTACCCTGCTCAAAAGCGCATGTTACAACATGAAACTACGTCGTTGTACCATTCAACATTCGCTACCATTGAGTGCAAAACCGCAAACTTATTGCACCATCTTCAACACGATCATCGAGGAAAATTTTTAATGTTTGTGGTCACACAACGTGCGATCACATGCGTGTTGAGTTAATTTAGAAATTTTGATGGTAATCCTTTTGGAGACCAATATTTTTGTGGCTGTCAGTTAAATCTATTCAATTTTATTTTCTCATGTTATAGTTTGACCTGATTTTTAAACACGCAATGCGAAAACAGGTCAGAAAGTTAAAGAAAAACATGATTAAAACAAAAAAAATATATGATTTTTTGAAACAATCAATGCTTTATTCACACAAAAATAATAACGGGTGGAAAGTGCGTTGACATTTCAGTCATTGACCACAGTACAGAAATGGGGTTGCTATGAATTAATTCCTACGCATTTTCTTTCTCTAATATCCTTTGTTTTTCTATGTTTTTTTCTGTACAAGGGTTACGTTTGCTTAACCCCTACTTCTGGTTTTATTTATAGTTATCGAGAAACCGATATAAATAAATAATTAAGATTTTATTGATCTAGACATCTTAAAATGGAAATTTTGAGTAAATATTATTGTCTACAGTAGCAATTGGCGTCATATTATAAAATTTACATAAATTTTGTTTTTGTTTTGTTAAAATTATTGGAAATACTTTATTTAACAGTTTAATTAATCTGATATTTTGTGTATTTGCATAAATATGCAATGAACAACAACCAAAACGAAACCACGTCGCGTGAACTAACGTAATCTACGAGAACATGAAATTATGAACTGAAGCCGAAGCTAAAGCGCGAATAATCCAATCAATTAATTGACTTTTCACAAACTATAGATACTTTATAGATACTTAACTACGTGTTTCAAAAATACTTTGTTTTATGCACTAAATACGTCAATAACTTGATGATGATTGATGGCATATAATGAAATAATTACCTGTTTTTTGTGTTAAACACGTTTCGTAAAGATAGATAGCTTTGTAAGGTTGTGTTTCACGTGTAGATGTAGCAAACACCCCAAAAATGCGCCCGACACCGAGTAGTTTAATATGCGTCTTCAACTAGTCATCACTCGGACGCAGTTTCGCCACGCACCGCATACCTTTTGCACCGAGTATTTTTCGGATGTTTATTTGCGTCGTTTATTTGCGGTGCGAACGCCGGTGCCTCTGTGCGACTTGTGCGCGTCGCGACGCCGGTGCGAGAGATTCTAGAGTCTAGGTGGTTGCCCAATACATAGAATGTTCGCGAGAGGAAGCGAGAAAGGCGCGGCGCGGACACAGAGCGCCGTCGCGCCGCCGCCGCCGCCTCCACCGAGTGAAAGTGCGTTCGCGTTGGCATCGATCAGCTCGGCCACTGCGACCGGCAACCGTTCACCACCGTCGATTCTTTGGGGTTTCATAATGTAGTTTTTTTGAAGTAAATATAAGACAAACATGCTTTTTTACAATAAATCAAATTATTTCTATAAATTTCTTGCATACATTAAAATATTAATACATTTAATAATTTTTTTATTAAAACACTCAGTATAACATAATTATATTTCCATTATTTTCTTAATTTATCTAATTTCGAACCGAATCTAACTCATTTAGTCAATTATTTTTTGATATTAGATACGTTCAACTTTATATTGCCGAAGGATAAGTAGATATTGAAGAACGAAAATGATGTTTATGTAAAACATGGGATAGTCTTGTTTCCTACTCTGCTGATTAACTTGATTAAGTAAGGCACTCGAGTAAAACAAAACGGTTGAATAGACCATAAATAACCGGATGATTCTTTAAACATTATGAATGGTTCAATGAATAAATGAATGAATGTTTTGCTTCATTGAGTATAAACAATATCATTGACTTTTATAATAATACCTATAAGTAAATATTAATATTTAAAACATATTATATCTTCTACTGATTTTTTTTTTATAAAAAACATCAAAATGTGAATTTTTTTACAAATCGTATCATAATTCTGCAAAAAAAACTTATTTTTAACTGCAGTTTCTAATCATTTTCAGATTAACTTGATAGAAAGTGATTACTTTAATTGGACACGCATGGAAAGTGCATTTTTTATATACTTCTATTGCACTTAAATCACTTTTTCTAATTCTCCAGCTAGATAAACTGCATTTTGTACCTATATTTTTACATTTTGTTATGACACAACTCCATACTTGTTAATTAACGTACATACAAGTTTAATATGATGTGCACTGAGTCCTGAGTTCACTCCGCAACAGTAGAAACAATTATCTAATCGTCACAAATTGCGCCCAATGCCGTGCCATTCAACATCGAGCAGTTAATATTTAATATTCCTAGGTATGATACAACAATTACATCAACAAATATACAACATACTATAAATCAATTGAATTTTGAACCTTAAATTCCACAAAAAATCTGTGCCTATATCTATAAGATATTTATCATTTTTAAAGCAAATAAATAAACAATTATCACCGAAAAAAATTCTGTGAAGAGGAAAGATTTGATTTGTATACATTTGAAGTGTTTTATTTACATTAGACTTAAAATCATCTTGAGTATCTATAATCGCACTCAAGTGCACATTGATAATATTTATCACGTTGGGAAAATTTGCAACTACGTGAGATGAGTTCTAGATTTTATTAGATATGATGTTTGCGTAAATTATTCACAAATGTAAATTGGGAATTATTGCAATGGAGATGAGATCATATGTTGCTTGTTCGCTAACGTGGGTGGAATAAAACATTTTATTTTCGTGTTTATAACAATTATTAACATTTCTACAATTTAAATCTAGTTAAAAGTTCACAATATTTAAATGAACTATAAAAATATATAAAATCGATAATTTCGTGAAAATAGTGAAAATTTAAATTTTTGTTTACCTGTTGTGTGTGATGTTGAAGAAAACGTCTCCTGTTGCTTGCCACTTTGGTGTGCAGTTGACGCCGACATGTTTTTGTTATCCGTTATCACAATATCACGCACAATACAAGTTTTTAATCAAGAAAGTTGTTTACACGCTGTTTTCCGCAGTGAATAGTTATATTAATACATAGTTTATTAGGATGCTGTGTTATGTTATGTCCTCTCTACTTCTCTCTGATCGTATGGATGTTGCTGTTGTGTCAGCAGTGATGCTTCCCACTCTCCAACTGCTTTTCCTTCCTTCACCGATCGTTACACGCTTATTAAATATTAATTGTTTACACAAAACTACCGCGGAAAATTGAACACACACTCGAATTCATCAAGTGTTACCACTGCTTTTGTTTTGTTGTGATGATGGCGGAGCGGGTCAATGAGATGAGTGCGAAATGCAAACTGCGCACTCGAAGGGTGGAAACTTCTATAATCGTGGGTGAATTGAGCCTGCGCCGCTCCAACAGGATCTGTGATGCTGGATGTGAAAAATAGAGGGGGTGATTGATATAATGCAATGCTTTTGTTAGAACTTTTTCAAAGAATATTTTATTTGCTGTTGAGTTAGTTAATTGTTGTTTTAATCGAGTTTTATTCTCCGTGAAATGTTAGATATACAGGTATAACAGGTGTGCAAAGTTGAGTTGAGTTTTCATTTTAGTCGAGACACGGTGACTTGCAGAACCTTTGACTTTTTGGAGAATTTTGGTGAATGTTTATGATCTACTTGGTGACTTCGCACATTCCAGCCAAGAATGCTGAGAATAAAATTAATTTTGTTTAATATAGTTGTATTGTGGGTAATTTTTTAATACTTACGAACGTATTCGATGTTTCCATCATCATCTTCTTCACCCATGTGGTCTTCAAATACTTCATCCACCTGTGCTTCGGTGAGTTTCTCGCCGAGGGCGAGCAAAAAATTAGACAATTCACCGAGAGGCATCCAGCCGTTTTCCAATTTGTCGGATAATTTTAGCAATTCAATGAAATCTTCATAACAACCCATATCTTTGACTTCTTTCTTCATCGCCGAGTATATTTTGAGTACTTCATCGCATGTCATGAATTTTTCGCCTGTTAATCAAAACAAAACTTAGAATTTTTTTTTATTCTTATATAAAAAAAGTAATTTTTTACCTTCTTTTTTGGTGTAACCTACAGCTTCTAGTTTCTCCAAACTAGGGTTGAGATTGAGGGCGTAGATAACTTTCGGCAGCTTGGATGCATCCAATTTGTTTGTATCGGCTTCATAGATATTGAAGACGAATTTTGCGTTCTCGACTTCAGACGGTCTCAGACCTTCAACTCTGTCTGCCTACGATTTATGCTAATTGTTTAAGCAAATAATGTTTAAAATTTATTTTATATTTACCTGTTTGGACATTTTTTATTAATAATATGTTTTAGGATAATAAAAAAGTTAGAGCACCAAATGTGCAGCAATCAGCGAAAGCGCAGTGGATGGGCTAATTAATTAATTAATCACGTCCGCATCGACCGACACTTGCCAATTGAACTAGAGCTATAATTACAATCGTCATCGGTTTTATATTAAGATCGATCGGAAGATTCAAATGCCTTCGGAGTAATTGCTAGTGAGGAGGGGACAATGCGACTTAATTAGATTGTTCTGCGCATTACTTCAGAGCACTGATTGATGAAACCGCCTTTATATTATATTGGTTTCTTCATTTGGATGATTAAAAAAGTTAAATTGGCCCAACGACTCCTTTTCTTCTCACTACATCTTCTCCCATATAAATTTTCCAGGGCCGGTCTTCACCTAAACCCTCTTTTTGCGAGTTCTTTAGCACCTATTTAACTTAGTTAATTTCAATGGGTTCATCATGCAATTATCTTTGACATTTTTAAAGATACTTTAATAAGAAGAAAACAGTCAAATAAATTCAGAGAGTATTGGGTCATAGTTAAAAAAAAAATCAATTTTCCATTTTTTGTACGCATTTACTTTTTGAAAGCTAAAAATATTTTTGGAATGGAAGATTTAAAGCATTGTTTCAAAAATATGTCGTCGTTTATGTGCGTTATATCGTAAAACAAAAATAGATTAAAAAAAGTGGAAGCATGTATGATGACTAATTCCTAACACAATAAAGGCGGAGACAAAAAAAAACGCTTAGAAATTAATTTGGTGCGTTTGTACAATTGAAAATTTATATTTATTTTTGAAATATATTTCAATATGCAGAAATTAAACAAAATAATAGTACCTCCTTAACATAAATTATTTTTATTTATTAATTATTAAATAATTTACATTTGGTTTTGCTTCGGATTACATCTATATATAAATAAACATATCAGAAACAAAAGCGCAGAGTGAAAACAAAAACAAATTAATGTTGCGACCAGTTGTGCGGTCCTGTGGGCCCCGTTGTGGTGAAGTGTGACACGTTTGTAGTTGTTATTTATCGATTCCCATGTTTGATTATGATGTCCCAAAATGTTTTGATCTCTTGACGTTGGATTGCTGTAATCCCACACACATAAACAAATTAATACCAACATAAGCACAGATTTTAAGCGTACGAAATTAAGCAACACAAGCAAATAAAGCATTAGTTGTTGATGACTTCGGCTTTTTGAAGTTTCATCCTGGCGATTGAATAGTTTGCTGCATCAGGCGTTGATTGTACTTACACAAAATGGTAAAAAATTGCTTTATTGTTCAAAAAAGAAAGTATCTAGCTTGGATCCCATCTTACGCCATCATCTTCTTGAGGAAGGCTATAAAAGACAAGTGTGATCTACATAGTGGACTAAACTAGGTCTAATTATTGTGCATGTTGCGTGCAAATTGAAATATTTTTAAAATTGTTTGAAAAAAATTATACTTACGTTCGTATGGGATGAAACCTTCTTCGTCTTCCTTGTCCATGCAGTCAGCAAGGACCTCATCAACCTGGAAGTCTTCCAGACGCTCGCCCAAGGAGAGGAGGGTGTGTGCCAACTCAGCGGCCATCATGGTGCCATTTTCCTCCTTGTCGTACAGCTTCAAGCATTCAAGGAAGTCCTCGAAGCAGCCGCAGTCCTTGTCCTTCTTGACCTGGGCGAAGATTGGCAGGAATTCATCAAGCTTGAACTTCTTTTCGTCTGCAAAACCACAAAAAATTAAATTAAAAAAAAATAATTAAAAATTTAATAAAAACGCACTCTTCTTCTTGGTGCCACCCAACTTCTCAACGGCAGCAACGGTGGGGTTGAGGTTCAAGGCGCGGAGGGCATCACCCAGCTGGAAAGCATCGATGGCACCGCTGCCGTCAGTGTCGAAGATGTCGAAGACAAACTTCGCCCCTAAAAATAAACGCGCGTATTAAATTTCACAATCCGTGTTACATTTAAGTATATATTATATATATTATATAATATATTTTAAGTATTACAGTAGCACAGATTCAGTTGCCTAAGCGGTGTGTGATTTAAAAATAGCTCCGCGCACTGTGTTCTCGTGGCACTAATTTCACTGCGTCCGTTTTGGTGCGGAGTTATTTTTAATTTTTCCGAGCGCGCGCGCACTGCGCGGTGTTATTATTACGCCCGCTCGTCGGTTATGCGATCGCCGCGGCCATAAATGATGAAAATCGGCGAGAATCCCAAACGTTTCCCGACTCACGGACACGCCTTATAAGCCCAGAGACTATTTTTATCACTGATATTTAATTAAACAATAGAAGTCTCAAAAGTTTTTAAGTTTTAGTCGAAAAATGCTTTGAAATTTTGATTTAATTTCAATTAGTGTTAAAGTTACTTAATTTAAGTAAAAACTTACTCTCAACATCACGAGCGGGAAGATCAGCCTGAAAACGTTAAAAAAATTGTTTAAACTTAATTATTTCAAGTTAAAAATTTTGTTTTTTAAAATTTTTTATAATGTTATTTATTAAACTTACCATTGCGTGTGTGTTCTTGCAGTTGAAGAATGAGAAAACGAAATGAACGTGCCTTCTAGCGACTTTGACCAGAAGTGGGGCTCCGAGTTTCCCTCATCGTCGCTTTTATACGACCAGATGGCGCTGAGGTGCAGCGGCGTGCCCGAAATTCCCGTAAAATTTCACTCAAACTCTAACTTTGGCCACGAAAATTATGCCCACACCGCTCTGCGGCTCTCCCCTCTATTCCCTATTTTGCGATATCGGACCGCAGCGAAATGTAAATATATCTGCGTTCCTCTTAGTCATACGGAACAGTCAAACACCTACAAATACACAAGGAATACGAAAAAATGTGTGTCACGAAATTGAGACCTTCAATAACCTTCGCGCCGAGATTGAAGTATGACGAAAGTGTGTATTTTATACAAAAGCAGTGTATAAAATTGTATAAAGTTTATAATCAACTAATTGCAGCCGGTATTGCTTGCCTCCTCGACGTGGTTGATGCAGCCCTTAACATTCCTACGTGGCATTCGAAAATGACAAAACCTGAAGCTGCTGAACCATCGCTTTTTCTTGGTGCTTACACTCAATAGATTGCCGATTTTGTTAAGCGTTGAACTCTTGCTGTCTTTCGCTTTCTTTTCATCTCCTTTACCACCAAGAGAATTCCCTGCTGAGGCGTCCTCGGTTGCCAAATCAATGCTTTCTAAATGAGATGAATCCTGTGGTTTCAAAAGCAGTTCACTTTCATCGTCATCATAAGGCAATGGAAAGGTTTCCGGATACATCGGATCCGACAACTTGGTTGGCTGTTCCAGTTCTATAACCTGTATAACATGTTCATTAGCTTCCTCCCATTCATCTTGTTTACGCCGTTGTTCTTCATTCAAGATATTGGTAATAGCCTTGGTGGAATTCATAACAAGATCAGTAAGACGCGTCTTTTTCTCAACTACTTTCGAAGGTCTATGGAGGAATGATGGTGGGTACTCCTTGTCAATTGGTGGGCTGTCCCCCACTCCAAGATTCTTACTATTGTCGATGCTCATCATTTCGGTGAGGATACGCTTCATCTGTTGGTCCATCGCAGACGGGGTCTTAACTTGCTCAACGTTAATTTTGCTCAGACCATCAATGATAGATTCCAGCTTTATGGGATTAATGGGTTCATCCTCATCTATAATATTCATCTTGTTTTTCTTATCGCCAGCTTCAGCGATGTCCATGGCTGTTTCCAAGATGTCGTTGAGGATGTCATTAGCCATGTGTTTTTCAGCACTGGGTGTGAGCATCCCCTCAGTAGGAATACCTTCTTGGTAGGTGGTCACATCATCAAGATCGGGGCTTTCAATTGAAGCAGTCATTTCTTTCATGGGAATGGCTTGAGATACGTTAGGTGATAACATTTTTTGCAATTTCTGCAAAATTGTATTTTTTTTGTAAAGTTTGCTGCAATCGACAGGGAGATAAATTGTGTAAAAATGACAGTGATGTATTTTGACGAATGAATTTTTAAATCACGGTGTGCTGAGGTTGCACCCGTCAAATCTTAACAATTTTTAGAAAATTGACATTTACTAGACGCAAATGACACATTATTTTGATGTCTTTCATTAATATCTATTAAAAATTTTCAATAAATTGCAAAAATATCATATTTCAACTTTCATTCCATCAAAACCTAAATAATTTACAAATTTATGGTGGTAATATGTGTGTAGTATGAACGAACGACATGCGCCAGTTAAGAATCCAAATATCCGTGTGAATAATCACCCTGTATGCCCAAGAAGTTATAGTGTAAACGCAAAACCTAATTCCGCCGTCAAAACACGCCAAATTCACAAGTATAAATCATTTAACAACGCATCGTTCCATAAAACTAATGCGGAAACAACACATAACTCTGTTGAAGTTCATAACTTATGGGAAGGTGTCCACTATCAGCGTCGACATGTTCCTGAAGAAGCTATGCACCGAGGCGCATGCGTCGATGAAGAAAGTGCGGGTTTGTCGTTGGAATTAGAAATCGACGAGTCCATCAAGAACCTGCTACGTCAAGGAAGCCTTGATAAACTGGATAAAAACTCCAATAAATACCTTGATGTTACTTTTATTCAGCAACCCACCTCACCGACTCCAGTCCAAGCTACAGTTTCACTTGGAATGGATGAGGTATCTCAACTTATTGATATGGTCCACGCGAAAAACAACAAACCAACCAATAAAACTGATAAATTGAGTACTAATCCCGTGAGCAGTGAAGTATTGCAGAATTATTCAACAGATTATACCAGTGATTATTCAGATGGTTTATATTCCAAAGGCATTGTCCCACCAAAAAGCCAACAAATTTATACAACCCCACAGACTTTTAATGATATAAGATCGAAGCTACCATGTATGGTTCATAGTCAGGCTGGTAATGAAAATTACGATAAACCAACTCCTTGTTTGTGTCAACATTGTGGTATGGTGGGTGTTTTGGTAGAGTCCCAGAAAAGACCTGCGATTCCACACAGTCCAAATCCTAAATTTGCGAATACGAATGGTGCGAAGAATGCACCGCAGACGCATTCATCACGTGTTCCCAAGAAAGTTGTTGACTTGAGAGCGAAATCCAAAAGTGAAACAAACCTGATATTATTAAAGGAGCTTACTGCAAAGATAACCTCACTTGAGGATAGACTCAATGAACACGAGGAGAAAACCGTGAAGAAAGACTACTTTAAATTTGTCATTCATAAACTTCTCACACAGTACTCGAATAAGATTAATGAACTTAGAACGACTGCTTATTATTCCAACAAGCAAAATGTCAACATGGCGACTCAATATTGTCGAAAAAGTGCTGATAAAAGTGATAGAAGTGAAAGATCTGAAAAGGAACCTAGTCGTTTTTATCCTGTTAAAGTACCCAATGAAAATCGAATGAATGTTAAGTCTTCATCAGAAGAAGTATCTTCAGAGAGGTATTATAAGAGACCAACGTATAAGTCCAAAGTACCTAAACGTACAACTAATACCTCCTTCACACGAAGTGACCATCCTAAGGCAGGAACTCATGTTAGCACCAATGTGAAGACTATGTTTATGACGAATGACCAAAACTCCAATCGCTTACCGCAACCACAAGAGAATCTAAGTGCGCATGCGATCAAAAACCTATGCGGTATTGTTTATAATAAATACTGTGATATTGCAAAGCAAAACGAGGCAGGAAACCGAGAAAGGGTCGTGCCGGAGAAGTTGAAACCAGCTGGGCCAAGCACGGGTCAAATGTCCAAGGCTCAGCCCGCTGGGCCCGCTCGAAATAGAAAAGAAGCCCAGAGCACGAAACGCATGAACGTCGCGTACGTCTCGCCGGCGCTCGAAACTTGGCACGACGAATCGGAGCAGGAATGCGTCGCTGCTAAAAATATCCGCGAGCATGAGCAGAAACGCGAGCAGCAGCAGCTTCGTAATAATAGCGGACATGCGTTCGAAGCTCGAAATAAAACAAAGCATTCCGTCGAAGGTAAAGCTCACAGTAGTAATCTTTACAACATCTATGCTAGACAACCAACATTACAATATTTTCCTCTTTTTTGCTTTAGAGAAAGTCAAGTATTTGAAATACTTGGCAAAGCGTAAAAACGTGGATGAATCGGAATTGTGGTCAAATATATTGAACCAAGCAAGGAAACATATCCGGTCTAACGAGGATACTGTTTCCATTCAATTACCCAGTCTTCCTCATGGACCGGATATGTCCGAGTTGGAGTTGACTCTATCGAAACTAAAGGTGATTGTGAAGACGTCTCGTCAACAACGGACGAAACAACCTGTAGAACTCGACTGTTGTTCTTCCAGTGAACGTTTGAATCCGTTCTTTACCATAGCTGAACGCAAACGGAAACCTTCCGCTCCTACGTCTTACTTTGTCGAAGATGAACCACACCGGCAATTTGTCGCGCGATAATACACTTTTCACAATGTGTCTCTATAAGTAATTAAAATTATTTTTCAACGCCTGCATTTTAACAATATATTTTATTCAAAAGGTACAAAAAAAGTGATGGTAAGTTGAGTGTTTGCATGGTTTTTTGGACATTATTTAAATTACTTCTTAGATTTACTAGTTCTTGTATTACCCGTTTGACCCGTCTGACCCGTTTGACCCGTATGAACCGTATGAGTGTCAGCAGCACGTGTACGATTTGATGAGCTTACGATTTGCCGGAATGCAAGCCCGGAAATTTTATGAAACGCTTCCTGTTGCTGCTCCCCGAAGCGATGTGTGCCCATCTTTGTTCTCACTGACCGCAACAAACACTGCTGCAAGTTCTCGAATTCTTCCGGTCGAATGTTTAACCTCGCATGTGAATTACCCAATTTTGTAATGTCCCTCTTCAGCGCGGCCTTATCACGCAGATTTCTCGCCCACTTATTCATCTCTCGCATGAAAGCTTGCGCGTGCCCTTCGAATTGATCATCATTGGGTCCACTAAACGGAAAGTAGTTGGCCATCAACGGGAAGTCCGTAAAGATGACATTGAAAAGGGCATTTCCATAACCGGCCAGGTCCTGACTGATCGTCCCCCAGATGTCCAGAAATGTTTGTTTCTCACCTTCGGTAATGCTTTCATACTGGCCCATGTTTTAAAGCAATGTTTTTAACTTACAAATTTATTGTCATTGTTTTGATTGTGACAAAACTGTCGGATGTCAGAATTAAAATAAGACTACACCTCGCTTTGTCCGTTCCCTATCAGATGCATGGAGGATGTCACTCATTGCCAGCCCAAGTAATTTATCGATAACTTTTTGATCCGCTTCGTTACAATGTCGTGGTCCAATCCTTTTGTGCATCGACTTGATGAAGGAGAAACGCATGCGTGCATACTGTTCGTTCTCAATGTTGCGCTTCGCATGACTTGCACCGAGTACTTCAAAGTCTGTCTTCAACTGTTCAGGATTATCCAATAGTTTCATCCACATGCGTATGTGATGTATAAACTTGTGCGTATGCAATTCGAATTTTTCATCGCTTGGTCCAGCGAATGGGAAATAGTTAGCCATGGTTGGGTATTTCGTAAACAGAAATGTAAAAAACGCGCGACTGAATTCTCCCATATCTGATTCGATGATGGACCATAATCTTCGCATAGTGGCTTTGTCCTCTTCAGTAACGCTTTGGTATTGGCCCATTTTATAAACTCACAAATAAATCGATTAGTACTGGCATGTGTCAAAAGCGATTTTAGCTTATTTTAGAATTACCGACTGTGATTATGAAAAGTATGGTTAATTTTGTTGAATATCTTGGATGGTATATAATTTCAGTTGAATTGCTAGTCATAATCGATCTGGTCACCGAATACAATGTTAGTCTAATAATCTAGTTTTGTGCTTTAAGATGTCGAGAATTTCGAACAATAAATTTGAACCAGCTAATATTCTAAAATTTACTAATGTCTGTTTACGTTTTATTGGATTACATCCGCACCAGAATCGCATAATTCGCAAAATTTTATCGTCTTTCGCTATTGTTTCGTTATTTTTGAATTTTTTAATTGGTTTCCTTGAAGTACTGCTTAACTGGGAAGGAGTTGATACTCTAATAAAAATTAGGTATTTACCATCAAATTTTATAGTAAGTTTCATAAAAAAATAAACGTTTTTAATATTTAAAAAAATTTATTTTAGTTTTTCGTTAAGTTTACTTTAATGTATGTAATGAAGAAACGGCTCTATCTAATTCTCGAAGAACTGAAAAATTCTGGCCGCTTGGAAAATTTGATACCAAAAACCTAGAAGATGCAGAAGAAACATTTCGTTTCTCATTTAAATTCGTCGTGATTTTCTTCTCTTTTGTGTTTGTAAATACTTTGATAGTTATGGCGGTGATTCTTATTGCTGATGACAACGTGTTGCTTTACGACGGATATGATTTGTGTGATTATGAAACCAATATTATGTGCTATCGTATTGTTTTGTACTGGCAGTTTTCCTTGCTTTTGTTACAAGGGCTGCCGACTGCTTTCGCGTTTGATTTTATTTTTGTCACATGTGTAACATATGTTTTCGCTGGAAGTCAACAACTTGCGACTGCTTTCCAACAATATTTTTTATTAATTCAACCGGAAAATGATGAATTGATGAAATTGAGAAAAAATAATTTAAAGGAAATAATTGATCAACATAATATGATCATGAAGTAATATTAAATACGCATTATTTTTGGCTGTAAAATTAATTAACGTTTATTTTTTTCTTAAAGTTTTGTTAAAAAAGTGAACAGTTTCTGTTCGATGATTCTTCTCATTCAATTTTGGAGCTCATTGGGTTCGCTGACGTTTTGTCTTTACATGGTAACGGCAAACGGGTAAATAATTTAAAAATACACCATTAATTATTATTAATTATTTGTGTTTATTTGTAGAATTCCGCCAAAAACTGATAATTTGACTTATGTTATGACTTACATGACTTTTGCTTCAGAATTATTACTTTTCTGCTTGGGCGGAGCATTAGCTCACAACAAAGTAATCGTTTTGTTTATATTATATTTATAGTTTAATATCATATTTTCTTAACTAAAACTTTTATTATAGTTGCAAAGTGTCGCCGATACAGCATTTGAGGTTGACTGGTATTTGACAGGCCAGACAAAATTACGTAAAGATCTTTCTTTTGTAATTCAACGGTCTCAACACGTAAAAAGTTTTCGAGTTGGAAACATGACTAATTTGAATTTAATATTATTCGTGAATGTAAGTGAACAAATATTTCTCATCTTATAATCACAATAATCACGCATTTTTCAGGTTCTCAAAAACTCTGTCTCGATGTATACTTTAATTAATCAATTATCATAATATTTGGAAAAATAAAATCAGATAATGTTATTAAACAATATTCAATAAAAAGAAATTTCTAGTCCTTAATAAAATTAATGCGTCATTTGTATTCCCTGACTCAAAGTAATTCAACTTTGAATATATCATGTGATGCTCTAATATTTTATCATAGAAATATTTCAAATGCTTTTAATGGCAAGTAAATCTCAGGCCTGAAGTATTTTCATGATCAATATTTTTAATAGAACAATTAAATCGAAAGTTGCACTCACTATCAGTACTCAAGTCATTTCCTTTTTCTTAATTAAATTTATCTCTTAAAGTGATAGCAAATAAATAACGGAATATCTGTTTGATGATTCAAATGGACAAAGTAAATACTTTGATCTTTATCTATATAATGTAATTACCCGTCAGCCAACCCAGCCAAATGTACTTATCTGTTTTAAAAAATGTATTTATCAATGAAGTACCTACGTATTTATTACACTCAAACGATGCATTCTTTGATTTTTTGAGTCATAACGTATGATATCACCGATATAATCATTATGCAAAATTTAATCATTTATTTAGGTTGAAAAAATGAGTAAAATCCATATCATGCGATAATCATATACGTGTGCTACAATTAGAAAAAGTACATAATTTGGATCGATCATTGAAACACGTGTATTCTAGAAACTCAACTTTATCTTCATTATAAGATACTATCTTGTAACAAGATGTCGAATAAAATTACTGCATCCGACCGCTTTGAACCCGCAAAAATTCTTAAATTATCAAATGTTTTTTTACGTGTTGTTGGTATATTGCCTGGTCATAATGATATCTTGAGTAAAATATTATCTACATTTGCAATTACATCTGTTTTATTCAATGTTATTCTTGGTTTTATCGAGATTTTTCTTAACTTTGACGGAGTTAATACAATGTTGAAACTGGAATATTTACCTTCAAGTATTGTCGTGAGCAATTTAATACTTGTATCTGGATCTGTTTCTACATAATACTATATTTCAGGTTTTAGCAAAAATAGTAACGATATTACTTATGCAAAAAACAGTCAAACAAATTTTTGACGAATTCCAACACTTTTGGCCACCACAAAAGTTTACTTCTGCGAATGCAGCAAAAGCTGAAGAAGGTTTTCGATTTGCTTATATATGCGGTATGATATTTGCTGTGTTTGTAGGGCTATCTTGTGTTCTATTGGCGTTTGTCGTCTATACTTCTGATACGAACATTGTGATATACCGAGGCTACGACATATGCGATTATCAAACAAATTTGCTCTGTTATCGTATAATGTTGTACTGGAACATTTGTACTTTGTTTGGTCATGTATTACCGATTGCATACGCTTTCGACTTTTTTTTTCTTGCCTGTATAACATACGTGTACGTTGGAAGTGAACAACTTGCGAATGGTTTCAAACATCTCTCTTTGGAAGTTCACCCGGAAAATGATGTTTTAATGCAATTGAGGAAGGACAACTTGAAAGAAATTGTTGATCAACATAATATGATTTTAAAGTAATCAAATAAGCTTTGCGGACAACATTTGACTTTTGTGTAATAAATTAATTCTTGAACTTTTATTCATCAAAAAATTACAAATATTGAATGATAAAAATTTCAAATTCACGAATCAGATGTTGTCTTCTTAAGCCTGCATAGCCTCATATTTTAAATTTAACTAATAATTTTCTATTTTACCTCAGATTTGTGAAATTGGTAAATAAATTGTGTTCGATCATTCTTCTCGTCCAATTCTGGTGCTCATTGGGGTCGCTGACGTTTTCCCTCTACATGTCAACTGTAGATGGGTAATTCAAACAATTATAAGTTCAACAACTTGAATATTTATCATCATTATCAATATCTGTTATAGAATTCCACCTGATTATGACCACTTGCATTATGTTATGCTTTACATGTCATTCGCTTCAGAAGTACTTATTTTCTGCGTTGGTGGAACAATATCTCACGATAAAGTACACTTAACTGAATAACAAATACTTTACATAGTAAATCATTTTATTTTAGTTGGAAAGTGTCGCAAACGATGCGTTCGAAGTCGAGTGGTACTTAACAGGGCAATCACAACTACGCAAAGATCTTTGTTTTATCATCCAAAGATCTCAGAATATAAGAACTCTCCGGGTGGGAAACTTGTCAAATTTAAATTTGGTTTTATTTGTCTCGGTAGGTTTCTTCTACGGAATTATATTTATGTTTATAGAACTAATACTTTTTCTTTGTAGATTCTCAAAACATCAGCTTCGATGTATACTTTAATTAATCAGTTATCCCCATAAATGTTCAAATAAATAAATATAGCTATGTCTCACATATCTTTTTGTATGTCTTTTAATAATAGTTTGGGTACATTCTTACTGTTATATTACATATTCATCATATAAAATTTTACGCCAAGCCTGCTATCCGATTGGTATATAAAATTATTTACTCTTCTTGAAAACAATGAATTTTTTATTACTAAATATCACAATGTGCAAAATATTTTGACCAAATTACTACGCATTTATTTCACTTGTTGGTATATGAATTGCACTGTTTTCTAATCTTACTATGTAATGTAATATTTATTGCATAAATGCGCAACTGAACAACGATTTTGAAACGATCCAAAGTTTAATAATTTATTTAAGATGATAATACAGGTAAATGCTTGATAATCACATACGTGTGCTACAATTATAAAAAGTACTAATTTGAATAAATTCAACAATGATGAACACGTGCCTACTAAAATATCAACATTCTCTTCATTTTCAGATATCATTCTGTTATAAGATGTCTAATAAAATGACTGCATCCGATACTTTTGAACCTACTAAAATATTAAAATTAGCAAATGTTTTCTTGCGTATTGTTGGTTTGTTGCCTGGTCAGAATCACATTAAGAGTAAAATATTATCTACATTTGCAATTACATCTATGTGTTTCAATGTTATCGTTGGTTTACTCGAGATTGTTCTTAACTTTGATGGAATTAACACAATGATGAAACTCGAATATTTAACTGCAAATTTTGTGGTGAGTAATATACTCGTAATACTTGATCTGTATCTATAAAATATCTTACTCTAGGTTTTAGCAAAAATAGGAATAATACTAGTTATGCAGAAAACAGTCAAACAAATCTTTGACGAATTCAAACATTTTTGGTCACCGAAAAAGTTTACTTCTACTAACGCCGCAAAAGCTGATGAAGTTTTTCAATTTGCGTATTTATTCGCCATGGTATTCGCTATTTTTGTAGCGATTTCTTGTGTTTTAATGGCATTTGTCGTCTATACTTCTGATACAAACGTAGTGATATACAAAGGATACGATTTATGCGATTATCAAACGAATTTGCTTTGTTATCGTTTAATGTTGTATTGGCAAACATATTCGTTGTTTTGTCATGCATTACCGATCGCTTACGCTTTCGATTTTTTCTTTTTAACCTGCATAACCTACGTTTACGTTGGAAGTGAACAGCTTACGAATGGTTTCAAGCACTTCTTTCTAGAAGTTCATCCGGAAAATGATGTTTTAATGCAATTGAGGAAAGACAACCTGAAAGAAATTGTCGATCAACATAATATGATCATAAAGTAAAACATTGAATATATTTATTATTAGAATAACGTTTGCGGACAACATTTGACTTTTGTATAGTAGTAGTAAATTAATTTTTGAAAATCAGAAAATCATGAAAAACATTAAGAAAAAGTCGCAAATGTAAGAGTTACATGTTTGTCCTCTTCAGCCTACAATACATCAAAGGTAAATTTTTGCTAATAGTTTACTATTTTGCCTCAGTTATATCAAATTGGTAAATAATTTGTGTTCTATCATTCTTCTCGTCCAATTTTGGTGCTCATTGATATCGCTGACTTTTTGCCTCTATATGTCAACTGTAGATGGGTAATACACAAACTTAAAAAATCAACCACTTTAATAATTATCATCATTATCAATATCTGTTATAGAATTCCACCTGATTATGAGCTACGTTATGCTTTACATGTCATTCGCTACAGAAATACTTCTTTTCTGTGTTGGTGGGACAATATCTCACGATAAAGTACACTTGATTAAATAAAAAAAATACTTTTAAATTGTAAATGATTTTATTTTAGTTGGAAAGTGTAGGAAACGATGCGTATGAAGTCGACTGGTAATTAACAGAACAATCACAACTACGCAAAGATCTTTGTTTCATTATTCAAAGATCTCAGCATATAAAAACTCTTCGAGTTGGAAACTTGTCTAATTTAAATTTGGTTTTATTTGTAACGGTAGGTTTTTACGGAGAAATTATATTCATGTTTATAAAACTGATACGTCTTTCTAGATTCTCAAAACATCAGTATCAATGTATACTTTAATTAATCACTTATTTACGTCGTAAATGTTCAAACTAATAAATATTATTATATCTAACATATTTACTTGTAAACCTTTTAAAAATAGTTTGGGTCTATTTTTATTTTTATATTATCTATTAATCTCATAAAATATTTCCAATGTTGTGCAATCCGATAGGATTATTATTACTGTTTTGGCAAATGCACGTAAATATGATAAATCATCAATATAAGTGCATTATCTACCCATTTTTGAAGCAATGCATTTTTTGTTACCAAAGGTCAAAATATGGAAAACACTTGACCAAATTACACGCTAGCTACACGTGTATTTCAGTCGTATATGTAATGCATTATTTTCTACAGTTACTATGTACTATTTATTACATAAATAATGATTACATAAATGCGCAACTGATGTACGATTTTAAAACGAGCCAAAGTTTAATCATTTATTTAATCAATAATCACATACAAAAGTTGCAATTATAAAAACTGCTCATTTGAATAAATTCATCACTGATACACGTGCCAAAGAAAAACTCAACATACTTTTCATTATGAGATACTATCTTGTAACAAGATGTCTAAAAAAATTGCTGCATCCGACACTCTTGAACCAGCAGATATTTTAAAATTAACACATGGCTTGTTGCGAATTGTTGGTTTGCTTCCTGGTCAACATCACCTCATCAGTAAAATATTATCAACATTTGCTGTTGTGTCTATTGGTTTAAATATTTTCCTGGCACTTCTTGAGTTGATACTACACTGGGAAGGAGTCAATACCATGTTGAAATTTGAGTTATTACCTGCAAATATCACAGTGAGCAATTTATTACCGTACCGAAATAAATTCCGATCTAATAATTTATTTTAGATTTTCATCAAACTCATAATAATATTAGCGATGCGAGAAACAATCGCAAAAATCCTCAATGAGTTTAAAAACTTTTGGTCATCTGGAAAATTCGGTTCTGCAAGCGCAGTAAAAGCTGAATAAGTGTTTCGATTTGTCTATATATTTGCAATAGTTTTTACTATTTTCGTGATGTTTAGTGTTGGCCTTATGCTATATGTAGTCATCACTGCTGATTCCAACATATTAATTTACAAAGGCTACGATTTATGCGATTATCAAACAAATATTTTATGCTATCGAATGGTCTTGTCCTGGCAGACATTTTTTATGTTTGCGCAGGCATTGCCGACTGCATTCGCTTTTGATTACATTTTCGTCTCCTGCGTCACATATATTTACATTGGCAGTGAACAACTTGCAAATGCTTTCAGACAACTATTTTTATTAGTTCATCCGGAAAGTGAAGTTCTGATGAAATTAAGAAGGGAAAACTTGAAGGAAATAGTTGATCAACATAATATGATCATGAAGTAATATCAAATCTTTTTGATCACAACATAAAATAACAATTAATATTTATTTTTAAGTTTTGTCAAAGAAGTAAACAGTTTAACTTGTATTATTCTTTTGGCTCAATTCTGTTGCTCATTGGGGTCGATGACGTTTTGCCTCTACATGTCAACCGTTGACGGGTAAACAATATTTAACAGTTTTATTATTTCTTATCAATATTTACTTTTACTCCAGAATTCCACCTGATAATGAACACTTGCATTATATAATGCTTTACATGTCAATTGTTACGGAATTGCTTCTTTTCAGCGTTGGTGGAACAATAACTCACGATAAAGTACACTCGACGGAATACTAAATACTTTACACTAGTAATAATCTTATTTTAGTTGCAAAGTATAGCAAAAGATGCGTTTGAAGTCGACTGGTACTTAACAGGACAATCACAACTACGCCGGGATCTTTGTTTTATCATGCAACGATCACAGAATATAAAAACATTCCGCGTTGGAAACATGTCAGATTTAAATTTGATTTTATTCGTCACAGTATGAATTAATTTATTTTTTTGTTTATTTTACTAATACATGTTATTTTCAGGTTGTTAAATCTTCAGTTTCTATGTACACTTTAATCAATCAATTATCTCAATAAATATTATACGATCTGACACGTTCGTAAATCGATTGTATAGTGTTCTTTTTTGATGGTTTTAAATACTCTTTCGGTCACAATTGTCTTCCGTTTGTATTGATTGTATCGATTGTATCGTTCATTTCGTTTAGCACTGCAATAATCAAACATGGCTGTGACCAGAAGGGTACAAAACGTTTTCCAAGCTTCTAATTGCTCCGAAGAAGTGAAATATTCTATTGCGGCTTGTACCAAACAATCACTTGCGTACATAAATTGTTCGAGAGTAATGTGTAGTTCACCATGCGGAACACAAACTTCGAAAAACAGACGTTCAAAATCGACATTGTCTAATAAACTGAGCACAATATTATCTAACACTTTGACGATCAATTTCGCATGATTTTTGATGTTGCCTTCGATGAGGTATAATCCGGGGCTTTGAAAGAAGACGTATATGTCTGGTCGAGTAATAAGAAGTCCAAAAAAACGTTCGGAATATAATCCGCGATCTAATTTTATCTTTGCCCATGATTCTTGTACTTTAAAGCGTTGGGACTCAGAAAAATCGGTGAAATTATTAAATGCGTTCATGACAAGTGTCAAATAAAGTCAATAGTGTTTTGATTTTTATTATCATTCATGAAAAAAATACAATTAAAATGATTTTGAAGTAAACTATGCGCAATTACTATAATTTGTCATTCAGCGAGCTCAAAATGTGCGAAACATTGGATTTTGATTTACTTTTATTTGTTACCGTGCGCGCTGATATTATATGTATCTATATATTTACCAAAGTAATAACGTTATTTTCCAGGTTCTCAAAAACTCAGTATCCATTTATACACTGATTAATCAGTTATCGTAAAATAGATAATTAACATGCGAAGGAAATAAGTACTGTGCCCGAAATAACATTTTGCTTGAACAAAGAGGGACTGATTTAATTAGTTTTATCTAATCTTTTATAAAATTGATCCATTTATAACATATTTTCCAATATGCCTTAATTGAAAAATTTTTAATACGTGTTTTTGAGCACGCAATAAAATTTTTATGTGTTTTGAGTGGCTAAATCGGTAATATAGATACAAAAATTGTACATAATTAATGTTAAAATCATTATATTCTGTTTGTCAACGATTATTTTCTAGTTCAAATCGGTTTCGTCGCATTTGCAATTCATTTATTTTCAATAAACGTCCGAACAACAAAGAATTAACGAGTATTATGTACCTGCTCAGCCGCAGCAGGTCAGAAAGCTGCAATTCGTAACTGTTCGTGGCTTGAAGCTAAACCGAGGCCGGACCACTGGAAGGCTAATAATAGAAACTCGGATTGTTATTACGAATTGAGTTTGTTATTAGAGTTGCCCAATTTCGTATTGGGAATTGAGCATATTGAAAATCCAAATGGCGGGTACATCGCACATATTTTCAGCTCGCGCAAAATTCAGCGACATTACGCTTATCAGCGTTTATCAGTGCTGTTTGAGTTAATTGTAAGCCGGCTGTCGAAAAACTTGAGCGCATTAAATAACCAGAGTGCATGTCATGTGATTAAAAACTATCTGCGCAGGACGCGACAATACAACGCTATAAATATTGCCATGGAGCGGCTTCACTTTCCAGATTGCAGGTGATACGCGCCGCGCACGTTGTGTGAACGCGAAAACAAGTTCGTCAATCGAGTGACAGACCCACTGGTAATTTCTAATTCTCACTTTCCCACTCTGCATGCAGACGAGATTACTTAACATTATTTATTTCAATGCAGATTTAATTGGATGCGCATTTCAAGCTAACTCACATCATGGGTCGACACATATATGTAAGTAAATTGCAAAATATTCCGGTTGTAATGTTCGTGTGTATTTAATTTTATCGCTTTGCTATCGTAAACATAACTTTAACATTCAGCGAATTCTTCGTCGATGAATGATAATAATGCTGACAATTTTTCGATTAGATTATATTCCTGGCGTGCTTAACGTTAGCACACGCAGCAGCGCCTACCGAAGAGGAGCTCTCGAAATTTATCGAGGGCGATTATGAAAAGAAAGCATCGGCGGCATGTACCAAGTCATCAGTGGCAGCATGGAATTATGCGACAGATATAAATGATGAGAATGCTAAAACAATCACTGAAGTTGCGTTGGAAACTGCGCAATTCGAAAAAAGTGTCTATGACAAATGGTTCAAAGACGTGAGTTTACCTGATGTTAAAGATGCGAGTGTAAGGCGCATGCTCAAAGACCTGAAACAGCAAGGATCGGCGGCTCTCGAGGAAGCTGATCTGAAAACACTCACCGAAACAATTAGTAAAATGGAAAAGATTTACAGCACTGCTAAGATCTGTCCATATGGGACGTCAGGAACTTGTGATGAAGCCGATAAGATTCCTTTGACACCAGGTAAATTTAAAAACATGCAAGTCTGTTTAAATTGTTTATTTTATACATAATTTTTTTGTATTAGATATTGAAGATATCCTTGCTAAAATGGAGGATTACGATGAGTTGCAATACGTTTGGGATGAATGGCACAAAGCTAGTGGTAAGAAGATGCGTGGTGATTACTCCACTTATGTGGAACTGAGCAACAAAGTAGCCAAGCTGAATGAATTTGACGATGCGGGGGAATACTGGCGTGACAGTTTTGAAACGGACAAGTTTCAAGAGAAGCTTGATACAATCTGGGAACAAGTTACACCACTTTACAAAGCCCTGCACAATCACACCAGCATCAAACTGAAGGAACGCTTTGAAGATAAGTTAGCGGTTGGTGAGGATGGTTTACTTCCAGCGCACGTTTTCGGCAACATGTGGGCTCAAACGTGGATCAACCTGGACTCACTTTTGAAACCGTACCCGGAAGCAAGTAATGTTGATATAACAGTAGAGTTGAAAAAGCAAGGATACACGGTGGTGAAAATGTTTGAAACCGCGAATGAGTTTTATACGTCTTTGGGCCTGTCCAGCAATGAAGTATCCTACAAGCCACCTAGTATGATCGAAAAACCAGATAACAAAGAAGTCACGTGCCACGCATCCGCCTGGGACTTTTGTGACAAGAAGACCTTCCTCATTAAGATGTGTACCGTTGTAAATCAGGAAGACTTTGTTACTGTTCACCACGAAATGGGCCATATTCAGTATTACATTTTGTATAAGGATCAACCGATTGCTTTCCGCGATGGTGCGAATCCAGGCTTCCATGAGGCTGTCGGTGATACCATTGCGTTATCAGTACAGAGCATTGCTCACTTAAAAGAAATCAAACTATTGCCCGCTGATTACAAAGATTCTGAAGAAGCAAGTATTAATACTTTGATGAGCATGGCTCTGGAGAAAATTGCATTCCTTCCATTCGGTTTGCTGATTGATAAATGGCGTTGGGATGTCTTCGCTGGAACAACTAAAGAAGAGGATTGGAACAAACATTGGTGGGAGCTTCGGTAAGAGTATCTAAATACCAACAATAAAATTATGTGACTCACGTGTAATAATTTACTAACTAGGGAGAAGTACCAGCTCATCAAGTCACCTGTAGAGCATAAAGACCCTGACTTCTTTGACCCAGGTGCAAAATACCACGTTGCCGCTGATAGTCAGTACATTAGTTACTTTGTCAGCCATATCTTGCAGTTCCAATTCTATCGTAGTCTTTGCATTGCTGCCAAACAGTACGACCCTGTCACGAAGAGCCCACCACTGCACAAGTGTGACTTCTACAAAAGTGAAGAAGCTGGTAAATTGCTAACGTACGTAGCTTTTGATAATTTCCTAGACACGGTTTCATAAGTTAGCATAATATTTATTATTTTCTTGCAGAGAGGCATTGTCGTTGGGTAAGAGCAAACCATGGCCAGAAGTACTAAAGAAGTTTACAGGTACGGATGAGTTGGATGCCTGTGCGCTTTTGGAATATTTCAATCCATTGGCTAAGTACTTTGGTATGCCCGGCGACGCAGAATGCAAGTACACTAATCCGGGTGATACAGATGACGGTGCAAATGTGGCAGTGCCCTCTCTTTTGTTCCTAACCATTGGTGTGATCCTACACTATATGTATTAATGATTTTATAGATTTTATGTTGAAATTTTACGTTACATTTTTATCTTCTTACAAATAACAATCTAAATTGCCAATTATTCCAAATAAGATTTACGGATACACTGTTGGCCATTGAAAAACAAATAAAAATACCTTTGCAGCAACGCAAATCTTCGTTTATTAATTTTCCATTCACATTACAAAGTGTGTTCGAATGAGTAGCAAGTTGTTGGTTGATGTATATACAAATTTACAATTATCTGAATTGGAAACATGAGGTAGAACCTTGTATGATGAATTTTCGTCGTCTGCGTTTTCAATTTACTATCGCGGGAATACCATACGTGAATGAAGAGTTTAATCTTTAAGTGTAAATAGAAATAGATAATAGGTACAATATAATATTATATATAAGTATAAATGTATGAAAATATAATAATTTAAAAATGGCAACTGTACAAATATTATAAATGTTTGTGTCTTGAGTAAGTCGATTGAGAAGGTTTGCATCAATCGACGATTGTAACTGTTTTATTTCTTGCCCAATATTGGATCGTACGCAAAGTTTTGTTGCGGGTACTCGGCCCATTTGCTTAGATCAATTGATGGGATCACGCCACTCTTACATGGCACACGTGGATTACTAAAATCAAGCGAGAATTGATAAGATTTGAACTTGTTTATAAGAAAATCCACTTACATTTCATGATCGGGTAACACCATCGGGTAAAGTTGTACGGTATCAATCAAGTCGGTATTATCGCAGATGATGCGACCAAGACGAGCCTTGCGTACTTCCTGAAGTTGTTCAGGACTGAAAGATGATGGTTGATTGGGCAGTTCATACCAGAAACGATCACCACGCCTTGAATAACTGAATTGGGTCGCAATAATGCAAGCGAATGTAGGTCCCAGCATACTGCCAGGAAGAGGTTTCTCAGAAACACCACCGGACCATAGATCCACATCACTGGGATGTCTGAAGATTGAAATAAATATTATTATTGTTGTTTTAGGAGAAAATTTTTAGATGTCTTACTCGAAAATGCTAGTGTAACGACGAACGGTTTCATTGGGCATTGATCCAAAGAGTTCATCAAAAGTGCTGGCACCAGGAAGTCCACAGAATTTCCTGTACTCCATGTAACCGGGGATACCGAACTCTCTACCTCTCTGCATGTTGAAACTGACAAGATCCATGCCGAAACGTGCTCCGATTTTCTTGAATAAGTGATTAGTGACTTCTTGAGTGATTGAATCGTCCATAGCTTGAGCAACTTGGTTCATAAGTCCCATAAGGTATTCATCAAAAATGCCCGCTCTGTACAAATCAAAAGGTCTGCGGATAAGGTCTGAGAGACGTTTGGAGGCGATGAATTTATGCGCTTTGCTCCAACGTTCAACTGCGGTTGGGAGAAGAGAGTGTCCAAAACGGTAAGCAGCTGCGGCAAATGCATCAATCACATTAGGGTTGACATTAGAGTCATAACCATCCCAATATCCGTCCTTTTGTAAAAGAATACCAAACTTCTCCATGACGTCTTTACCCAAGAGGATGGGCAAGAATTCATTATAAGTGATGTGTTGGATCTGGGCGATGTTAATACGTCTGGCTTCCTGGAAGAGAGTTTCATCATCCCAATGCGGGTTTACTTGGGTAAGACCTTCGGCAAGACGATTGTGTTCACGAGCCATCAACGTGTGCATACAAGTCAGAATCAATTGCTCATTTACACGAATCTCTCCAGCTTCAAAACAGTACATAGATGCATTGGGACGAGTGCAACCCTCATCAGGAATGTCCAACTTCAATGGCAACAGTTCTTTCAAACCGTACTCAGCAAATACTGGATTCATTCTCAGTTTACCACCATATCCAGAACGTAGTTTCCTGGAGAACTTTTCAGTAACACCATAAATAGTATTACCATCAATAACACCTGTCAGTGTATTGAAGGGAACCTTTGAACCTAATCTACAACCTGGTCGCGGCGATGGGAAAGACCTCACAAAGTCCATACACTTAACTCCAAACAACCTGAAGAAGTAATCGTCTTCTGGAATTCGAATTTCGTTACAATATGGATGTTTTAGGTGGGGTGGACGATGGCAACACTCTTCCGGATCGTTACGATTACGAGGATCTAAAGGTGTGGCAGTCAGAGTATAATCGTGATCCATAAATTGACCCCAAGCGATGACCATCACAGTACCAGCATGATCATGGAAACCCTCATCGGGATGCATAGTGCGGGAGACAACTCGTGATAAAGGAAGATCATTTCCGGTTACTGAAATACGTGGTGCTTGCATACCATCAGCGTACAAGGGACCAATCAACCTCGTGAAAGGGACATTAGTAGCGCCCCAGGTTGGGTGCTCAAGATTGGTGCAAAGACCATCGATTCTACGGTATTTGCCAGCGCGACATTCCACATTGGAGAGGTATGGAGGGCAGACTTCTCTCATCAACGTTTTAGAGGTGTCAATTAACGGTAACCCTTTCTCGATGTCTTCGTAGGAAAGACCATAGGTACGGGCGAGATTCAGACTGATGTCCAGGGAAAGTTCGCCGACTGTAGCGACGTCTTCCGGTTTGTATTCACCGTGAGGTTGAGATACATCTAAAAAACATCATTTTTTAGGATACTAATGATTTGAAGTGATAGATTAACTTACGAATGCGCTTTCTGGCATCTAAATAGGCTTGGTTGACTGCATCATATGTTATACAAGTGTGGGGACCATTATATCTAAATATAAATGGGATAATAATATAAATTATTGATTGAAGAAGAAGAAGAAATTAAAATCGAAATATTACAGATTTTTACATAGTTAGATTTTTTATGCATAGATGGCGCATAATAACCAAAAATCCGCGTTTTATATCTACTGTGTGCTTAATATCATTCAAAAAATAAAATAGAACGCTTAATCCATCATATCCACATCACCAACAAATTGGAACGTCTCCTTTGCATAATGAAAAAAAAGCTAATTAGTTCGACGTAATCTAGATTCTCACACACTTCATAACACATCTCACGAGCGTGTAATAAGCGCAGTTACAGTTAGATAATACAATTCCCAGCTAGTTAACAAACAACAATGCTTTGTACGCATGTGGTAATATTTGCGAACGATTTTCATCATAATCCGTTGCGCCAATATACAGGGATTACATTTTCACGCAAAACATTAATCAAAACAAAACAAATTCACAACTCACGGATTGTTTCCTCGTAACAAATTATAAGTGTAGTCAAATTGGCTCGATCTGCCTGGACCGTTGAGTAGCAGGGCACAGTCGGAGTCACCTCCGAGGCCACCAGCAGTATTCAAATCAATGGGGGTGTATTGAATGGCGGCAATGGCGTTGATAAACAGCGCCAGCGGTGCAATGCACCACCTAAAACAAAGAAATAAATTAAAAACGATTTTTATCGGTGTTTTAGTAACGTTAACATTCGTTTTCACGCTTAATTAAATCATTAACCACGCATTAAATTCGTACAACTTCAACTACTCCACCTGAGCGTGACAAAACATTACTGACGAAATGTTAACGAGCAATTATCATGATCCACTGGCACAGAAATATTTTCGAATTCTTCTATGTTGGCACATAGTTATTATATTCAAGAAAAAAAAATTATGTAATACTAAGTCAATCAATTGATAGAAACATGATTTTGCATGTTTGTAATATTAATTCTATTAGTTATTAATTAATTAAATCTTTTGTAATCACAAACAGTTGCGACATGTGCGCAACGTGCAAGAAAACGTGATTGAGGTGTCGTTTCATTTATTAAAACAGAACGGATGTTCAACTGAATTAATGCGAATCCACATTGTTATAATAATGTTGTAGGCATGTACGAACCGATTAGCGGATTAACGGATGACCATTAGCGGCGTTAAGCAATAACTCTGCATTTGCATTCATTTGTGCTTCTTATGGCGTTGGCGGTTCAATAACAGCACAAACGTGATGCATAAATATCAATAAATTTCATAATTGATTTAACTGTAATAGTTACAATTATTTTTTTGAAATTTAAATCTCGCGACGTTTAAAGATGAGTAATGTTTCTTTTGGCGCGCATGTCGCTTGTTCTCGTTGCGCGCGTCCTTGACTCAGTTTGCTGCGTTTGCAGCGATGAGCGCACGCGTCGCAGACTCACGCGTTTCGTCTTATCTCATCTTTTTCTTCGTGCACAGTTGTTTATCTATTTGTTCCAACGCTCGTGTGCGCGAACCGGTACAATGTGCGTCTTGCACCGTTTACGACTCGATTCACCTCAGTTAATGCAGTTCATGGCATATTCTAGATCGTTGCTTCGACTTCTCGGGCTGCTCTTTTCAGGTAATCACCATTCGTTCTTACATTACTCTTGTATTACTCGCCTCATTACGCGTATTATGTATATTATACTTAATTGTGCCTCGAATCACGTCGGTTAATACTGGTTTATTGGGACCTTGCGACGACACCGCCGTGAAGGCAAAAATTAATAAATTAATCGATTTATTACTGCCACGTCAGCACATCATGATGAAATCATTTTACTTTTATATATTTATTAGGTTTTGACCGCGACTAACTAATTACATTCTTGTTGCTTGCGCTGAACACGGCATTAATCGTAATCTTGCAGACTTTAATATTGTACTTTTTAAACGATTTCCTAAAGATTGAGAATTTTCAAGCTGTTTCTCTCTATAGCTTTTTATTTATGAGATATTTGCAAAATCGAAGAAAAATGAGAATACATTTTAAATTTTATTCTTGCGACAAAATCTATATTTTATTTTGATATATAAACAGTAACACTGCAAAGTGTTATCAAAACTGGTTCTGTACATTGTGCATGAAAGAGGTGTACGAGTAAACAAACAAGTCAACTAACATTCGCTCAATTTACTCTCGTGAATATTTTGTGTCGAGTTATGTACAGTTATGGAGACAAATACTACCATAACGGATTTACTTATTGTAAATTATTGAATCGTTTTGTTTTCTTAACAATACTTAAACTCCTACTTACACCTACCGCTTATTCTAACTGTAATTCATTATTATGCATTCATATAAACTACATAAATCACAAAACATTAGTGTTTTCTTTTGTGCAGAACTCTTTCAATAATTAAATAACTCCAACTTTGATTGATTTTATTACGCAACATTTTACATCATAATTTCTAGATATTTTTAACATCGTCTTCGTAAATCTCTCACAAATGTCAGTAAATTATGTTTTCTTAATAATTTATGATGCTTGCGAATTTTTTGAACTTTCATCACGTAATGTTTGAATTGTAAATTATGATGTAGACCACACACAAAACAAAAACGTTGCGCTCAACTTCATTAATCAATAAGTTTTTGTCTGTGATCTATAGTTTTACCATCAACTTGATATCTTGAACGTTTTTGATTTATTGTTATTTTGCGTGTTTTCCTGTCTATACAAATTATTATAATACTTTCTTTTGAATGCTCAATACATCTCAATCTCTCCGGGTTTATTTTCGTTGATTTTCAATGATTCGATCGTTTTACTCGAACAAAACATCCCGGAAATAATTTATTCGTTGAATTCCAGATTCGCAGTAGTTGTAAATAGTTGCCAAGCCTGCTAGAAGTCGTAGTACCTTATTAAATAATCGTCGAAGGAATAAATTTATGTGCGATGCGTCTTTAATGTAGATATCTAGTAATATGCAATATAGAAGAATGTTTTGCGTCTGAATATTCAACTGCAACAAAAGTAACGTGGAGGAAAAGAAAGTGAAAGCGTATAGATGTACCGAGGATGATCTTCTGCTCTTCTCGCGTGTTCAATCCAAGCAGAGTAAACACCATCTGCACATCAAGACGCACGTCAAGTTGAGAGATAATTTTCGTGGTTATTGAACACTCGCTGCTTGGAATTTCGCTCGAACAAAGAAAATTCAAAGTCTCGATAAACCTTTCACTATCAATACATAATTTCACAGTTAAATTTGAAACTGTGACGTTTCAATGGCTGATAAACAAGTTAAATGAGTATTTTGACTGATTGTAAAATTAAAACGTGGCAATTAACTATATGGAGACTGTTGGCCTTTTACTTTTCTGTAATTTTTGTCCAGTTTTGCTCTATATTCGAATGAAAGTCAGCGCAGTACTCGACTTGAAAAGTCGTTGAGTTAATGAGATAAGAAAGCGTTTTCGTGCGCTGCATTTTTCTTGTCGCCAAAGTGCACACAGCGTTTCAAGTTTATTCGAAAGGAACAACCACGAAATAAAAACTCAATTTAACTCGATTATTTTAATATACAACGAATGCTATATTCTCATGTAATGGGCGATTGTGATTGTTTCTTGTGTCTGAAAGGTCACCGGTTGAAAAAGTCGCGAATTTATTGCACTTCTCACGCTCCAAACGAAAACCCACCAATAAATCTTTACATATTAGATCATCGTTAACTTACGCAATTATTCAACAACAAAAAAATCCAGTTTTTTTTGTGTTGGGCAATAATCATTGTCAAATTTTACTTCCGGTTCACTGGCGGGTAATTACGATGTACAATAAAAGGCAAAAAAAAACGAATAAAAGACGAGAGAGCGACGACGAAAGTGAAAGAATGAAGGAATGAAAGAAATCCGAATCGAGTTTATGAAGACGTGATGGCGATTGCCATCGCATTAATCAGTTTTCTTATGTCTTTTGTGTGTGTCTCTGGTGAAAGAATGTGCAAGTCATACAAATGTACAAAACAAATGTAGTTAAAACTAAAACTAAACTGTCAAAACACTCAATAGTCTAAACACGTTGAATACCATACGGATTATTTCCGGCATACAAAGACTAAAACTCAATAAAGCCAATATTTCTTTAGGTTTACTTTTGTTTTAACAGTAAAAGTAATTCTGAGAAAAGAAAAAAGTTTTTGATTTTTCCAAAGGTGTCTTAACACCTTAAAATAGACATAAGTCAAGTACTTACTACAAAATACTAAGCCATTGTTTATTTAACATGATTAAAGTCAACAAAAAAATATTAAACGTTTCACAATGAGTAAATAAAGTCAGAGCCACGTTCAAGTTCGTTTTTTTCATTCTGAACACACAAAAAAATCAATTTGGTAGTCGAATCAATAGATAAATACAAAGATTATCGACGTAATACTCGTCTGTATGCTCCTCATGTTATAAGCACCAGCAGACATATCGCAATGCGAGAGTAAAAGGAGTTTGACATTGTCCCAAATCTAGAGTAAAAATTGCGCAATTTTCGTTGTCGATCAGGTCACACCGCAACCATACATACGCACATATTTTGTAAAATTCATATGTGGTCGTATTTTATTAGAATTATGTCACTTAAGCACGTATAAAAACATTTACACACGAAAAACAATGAATTAAGATGAAATAAATCAATTTCTGCCTTTAGGTGCCAATGATATATGAATATTATTGCAATAATCGATAAATCTTTATGACTATATGTTTCTATGTATGTTTATCATCGCCTAAAATGTTTTATGTTATGTGTTATACAATCATGTGGTAATATTAATGTGTGGACATAAATTCCGTAATTGTACTGTAATTACTTTTATTTGCAAATATGCGGCTTCAGTTTTATTTTCATTTAGAAATTGTTTAACTCGTGACAGATGCATTAAATTATGATTCAATGTTTATGTCTTCACGACATCGTTATTTATGTAAATATATCAATATATCTGCAATTTTATTCCAACAATTGAACTTTCTAAGATTATCTGTGGTTATGTGCTGTTATTTTTTATGTTTTCGTGGAATATCTCTCGAGTTCAAACGCACGTGACCAACAAGCGTTGTCAGTGTGCCATTATTTAAATATTTAGAGCATGTTTTCACTGATTCACCGTTGCTTTGTTTGTTTATGCATGCACTTTCTCGAGCATCGCTAAACACGCAAAACAATAGATTTTTTCATGACTTGAAACAATTTACAGAAGTCTGTTAAGTTGTCGTCCAAATTTTTAAACTTGTCAAATTAAATGATGTTTTCTTTCCTAAATTTTGTAAATTTCTGGTTATTTTTTTTTGTGCGGCGTCCTTGCACTCACTTTTGCTCTTTAAGTTGAAACTCTTTAGGAGATCGCCGACGGGCAATTTTTGGCACACACGGTTCATTAACAAGCAACCATATTAAATAAATTAATTTAATATATAACAAGTTTTTTAAACGTAAATATTGCAATATTATTATGTCAATGTTAAATTTTACGATTATGGATGCCGAAAAGAATTGGTTGCGGAAGTGGGCTCGACGTTTCAACAACAATATTTTAAGTTGCAGCGAGATATCTATCAGTTTTTATGACAAATTGATTGCTTTGTGAATAAATTAAGCTGGGAATTTCAATGTTAGACGTTCACCCACAATTTTTTGAGAAATATTTTAATTTTATATATTTGGGCATACGTTAAATGTTAAAGTTGTTCGAAATTATTAGATTTATTAAAGTTATAGTGCTGCTAAAATTGATGAATCACAATGTGACACGAATACCGGCGCGTCCATCAAACCGTAACGCTTTGAACTGTTCCATTTCTTTCTTTAACGACAATCAATTTTGTGCTTGTTGAATGTCAATGACAGGATAACAATATTGACTCGTACATTTACTAAACTTAAATTACAGCAACAAATTGTTTGGTTTCCTTCTGATGATTTCAATAAAATTGGAATATCTATGTAATTATTAAAAATACAATACATCTAAACATAATAATTTAAGGAAAAATTATTTTCTCATTGAATGGTTTTAAAAAATCTGCAATTTTATGCAAATCCAAAGAAAAAATCAAATTTTTTTGTTGCCAAAACGTGAAAAAACTATGAAAACTAAAATAAAACGAAAAAAAGGCTAAACTTGGTTGATTTACATACTAATTTTATATAATTAATTAACAAAAAAAGTACTTGAATAAACAGGTTTATAATTTTGGACATGGGCGGACCTACGCAACAAATAACTAACTGTATCGTGAGTAAAATAGATCGATATTTATATTCAACCATTAGTAGATCTGCCTCAATCGGTTATGTTGAGCGATAGAAAGCGATAATTATGCTAATTCATATTTATAATGATGCAAATGCAACTTTTCGTAATCGCCATTTATCTCTCGACTGATTACGCGAGTGAACTTGTAATTTGACATTTAAATTTTTTAGATCATTTTTTTTTTGTTACATAAACACTTTGGCATTTGATTTTTTAAGGATTTATAACTATAAAAAACTTGTTTTATTTGTTGAATAGTGTAAATAATGATTTAATTCCAAAGTTAATGATGTGCAAGTGTACTTGAACGATTAAACAAATCGAGCGTTACTTGTTAAACTATTTTATAGAGTTTGATGGACTGTATCGATGTTTTTTATTTATTTATTCGATCGAATTAACATTGAATGTTAGATATTTGCGGTGTGCAGTTAAAGTGTATGATTAGACATGTGGTAATTGTGTGGTAACTCATAGTAATTAAAATCTTCTCTTCGTCCGATGCATCGTGCGCTTTGCGTAAAGCTCACAAAGTACAATTATTGTGCAAGAAGTAGTTATTTATGCGTCGAAAATGTTGTAAATCTTTTTAAATATCATAAGTCAAATATTTTCACATTAATTTTAATTGTTATTACGCTTACCGTGTTGTAATCATGATGTGTCTCTGTAAAATTGTCCTTAATATGGCACTTAGTATACTATACGCGACACTACACGTCCGAAACGTTCTTCAGTTGCACTGATTTATGCAGTTTTCTTTTGTTGGTGGCTCAATTGTTTAACTGAGTGACTTTGGTTGGCTGGACATGAAGAACTCGGTGCATCCAGACGCGTACACCGTGCAAGGACCAACTGTTGATGGTCGGCGCGGTACGCTCGGCGTATAGGCACCACGGCGGCTTTTCCTCCCCTTCTTTTCTCTTCGCGCGTTCGGCGAGTAATACGCGCGCATTGAAGTCACCGACGCCGATGCGATCGAGAGTGTCTTGCTTGCTTGTCCTTATTTTTTCGATTTTCGTGTCACTTTCGATTGCGCTGACCGAGTGGCGGGCACGACACGTTTGGAACATTGCAATGGGCCACTTCTTCGTATTTATATCAGGCTTCATTTTGGGGGAGGACCAAAAGTTTACTTATTTTTTTATTCGAGTGGTGGTCAAGTGTTCTACTTATCATTTTTTTCATGGCATTTGCAAGAAATATAAGAATTACATTATTAAATGAATAATAAATATATAAATATTTAAATATTTTCAAAAAAGTTAAAAATTAAAAAAAATATTTTTTATTAAGTTTTATAACTAAAATTTTTAATGTAAAATTTGTGTTAATTTAAAAACTTCATAAGCTAAAACAATATAAATATTTTCATGTAGAATTATTCTTGTTAATCTAGTTATGCTTTTAATAGCAAACTAAAACAATAAACAGTTAAATATCCATTCACGTAATAAAAATGCCGCAACAAGTTGATTCGTTTTGATTTGATCGAGCAGGTAAACGTAATTCAATTGTTATAAATTTTATTGCCGACTCACCGACGCAGCAGGCAGCTCGCCGCTTTTTTTACACATTGTTTTAGTTTGTTGCTATTCCACTGCCATTTATCAGACAACTTGAACACTAAACACTATAGCATGTTATGTAAGGCGTGCAGTGTTGAATTAAATTGTTAATTTAATTATTTACTCGTGAGCTTTTAAGTTTACAAAAGGAAAAAAAACGTGACTTGAAAAAACGGACAATTAGAAAATTAACTTTAGTATATTGCTAATTTTTGTTTATAATTAACCTTGCTAAAGTGATTATTTTACACACTTGTGGTAAAAATTTTATATTATAATATTTTGCGTTGACATAACCTCAAATTAAGCGTATAATATTAATATTTAATTGAATCTGACATAAACTAGATCAACTTTTATTAATTCTTGCAGTTTCAAATAATTTTATTGATTTAAAAACACAACATTTAAATAAAACATATTTCTGCGTAATAAAACTCGGAATTTTTGAATAAATAAACAAAATGCGTAATAATCGCACATCAAAGATTGCAAAAGATAACAAAATTTAAATATTTAGCACATAAATAATAAATAAATAAGAAAACGCCCTAAAATTGTCACATAAATAATGTCTCAATTTGCAATAATTTACGATACGATTTCTTTGACTATTAGTTGTTGCAATGCCTATCTAACATCGCCATCGTACCCATATCAAAGAGAAAATTTAGTTTATACTTAATTTATACAGAGTATTCAATAATACATACCAAAACAATACTAATAATATATGTTTAGCTGTAAGTTGTTTTATGTTGGGATATAAATATTACACTTTGTATAGCATTTAGTATTCTTAAAGTAGTCAATCAATCTCTCAATAAATTCAATGCAATGACCGGCGTAAACGGTGAAAACTTCCAAGAAAAGCAGCAGTCGAACACGGCCGACCAAAAGAAACAATTTATTCATGAATGAACCAACGCAGAGAATAATAAATGACGGCGTAATAAAACAAATATAATTTACAATCGTAGTAGCGTCAAAATAGTAGTTTTAAATAGAGATTGTGAGGATAATACATTGGTAATTGATTGTATCATAATATTTTGTCTTTTTACGAGTTTATACGTAATAGCAAGAGAACAGGAAATTTTTTATATGTGCCCAACCCGGTACAAAGGGTGGGAGAAGTTACGCCACCACTAAATGTCATCAGCTACCCCCACCTCTTTTTGCGGGTAGACGCTGGTTTAAATTAGTAGCTACTGGCATCTAGCCGTAAAAATTTGTAGTTTATATATAAAAATAAACACAAATTGTGTTTCTGTGAGTTATTTATTCAACACAGCGTATTTTACAAATAATTTAAATTCGAGTGTTAATGGAACGTGCCCAATACGTCCGCCAGACAACTGACATCTGGAAAAATTATGAATAATTTTTATCTAAATTGCTAATCTGAGCGAAGTGTAGTCTATGTGTATAATTCCACACATTATCCGCAAATTTACGATTGGAACGTGCGCGCATGAGATCGCCGGTTGAAGATTGCGACTATCACTCGTACGTATCGCCAGCTATGCATTATTGTTTCATAATAACCATAAAATACAAATGTTAAATTGTTTATGTATACCAAATATCTAATATCGAATGCGTGTGGTCGTCATAACTATTTTATTTCGGCTTTTTTTTTCATAAGCGCACAAAAAAAACCTCCGACAATCGCCAATCTCATTACCTGCGGATCGTTTACTTTCATTTTTACTGCTTTTTGTAATCTTAATCACTCCTAGCGGCTAATAATTGATATTTATATGGTGCGAATTTTTTATGCGGCTTAAATTAATTTCTTTCTATGGTCAATTTTGTAACGCAGAAATTATTTAGCAACTACACGCATTATGCGCACTTCGGAATTAAGTTATTAATAATTTTTTGTATCATTATTCACAGTAAAATGTGATTTGGTAATTAAGGTATGGTGCGAATGACGCGCCCGTAATTAACATTCGTTTTGTGGGTTATTGTTTATAGCGAAATGTGTTAGTAATAAATATAACTGAGTTTCAATCTGAAGTGAATTGATTTTTGCTACTTTTGTGTGGAACTAATTAAATAACAAACTAATTAACGTTGTCTGACCTTTAAATTGAGCAATACTACCTTAAAAAGAAATAATTACTTTGGATTACATTCTTTTCTCAACCCAAAATTCTTCGAACTTAAAAAATATTTAATTTGGATAGTGCTGTCAAAACTTAGGGTGTTTTGCACTAAAATTTATGTAAAAATAGTTTTGACGTAATTATCATACGCAGTGTTCTAAATTATTGACCACAAACAACTTAATTTATGTAATTAAACATAATTTAATATAAACCTTACGAAATGAATGTGTAAATCGATCAGAAACAGGATGAATCAATATTTTTTACAAAATGTGCGATCAAACCGCGTTGACACAGCGTACAAGCAAATATTTGCATATTTTAACCATAAAACTCAAGTGTTAAGAATTAAAACTATGCTAAACGCACATTAAAGCCAATAAATTAATGCTGCGCACATCTCATATACATAAACTAAGCGGAATAAATACAATAAATCTCGATTTTGATTTAGCCTCGCAAATAGGTACTACCTATACAACATGTTTGTACATGCCATAAGCAATATTTACCATATTAGATTGGATCCGTCGAATTTGGTTAGGTAATTTTAATAAATTAGTCAATCTTGAAACCGTCCACATTCTCTCGCTGCGTGTGCACGCTGCTGAAGAGCAGCTGTAATTTCATCACCTGCTACTTGAGTGTGCGCAAAAAACTCCTGCTTCTTAAACGTCCAGCGTAAACGAAAGAGAGTAAGTAAGTAAGTACACACTTGCTGAATGAATGCTTGGTTGGCGGCGATTTGGAGAGCAGCGGTTGAAGAAGCTTCTGATTGTATCACACGTACGGTCGTAATCGGAACGCAACGAAAGTAAAAGGCAGCAGCATCTGCGTTTTGCTCGAGAAGTAATGTTAATTTTTTGTATGAAAGCTATTAAACGTACTTTTAATCAAATTATATAGGAAATACACTCCCAGTTGCCATTTGAAATTCTCTAAAGTCTTGTTATTTCCAAGAAACTCAAATTCTTTATTTTATACTCTTAAAGTTAAATTTTTGCAACAAAAAGTATTCTATGTTATTTTCCAAAGTCCAAAATATTTCTATACGAAAAATTATCAAAATTGGATGAGTGGTTTTTATGTTATCGCTTCACAAACAAACAATCATACGCATTTACCCAATTATATTATTAGTCATCATCTAGAATTCCCAAACTAAAAGAGATAAACACATTATTTTACTTTTTCCGTCTGAATACTTGCCTAGAAAGCCATAACCCAACGCAAATATTTATCAGTTAAAATATAGTACCTAGTAATGTCAAAATGTATTAATATCGAATGAAAGTATGCGATTACAACATTTGCAATCGATCTAACACGACATGCTCGCATTTTAACACAGCGCTTTCATTGTCTGTACTCGTTGAAATCATGTTCTTCGTCCGTTGCTTTAGTTTGGATTTCTGCTTATCATGCAACATGCGGGTAATGCATTTACATTTCTATCAATATACCTGCTGCAAACACGTTTAATAGGCATAATTCTACTTCATATTTTACCACATGTTGATACAGCAAATACAAGTCGTACTGTTGTCTCTTGGATCTGTAGTAAAATGAAACAAAATTGTCGCAATCATAAACAATACCTGCTATGAGTCAAAAGTGATTAATATGGTGTTGCATATGCCAATTAATGCAGATTTAATTACTGTTAGGTTAGGTTATGATCTATTTTGCAAAACACTTTTATAGGTTATGTAGTTATGGAAATTAATATTAGAAAAACAATAAACTCCACTCACAAGTGTCGCTAGCGTCGTTCAGTAACGCGCTCGAAAACAAAAGTAAATCGAGTACAAATATTTACGCTATTTGCACGTTTTGCGATCTGTATCACACGTGTTTGAAATGCTTGAAATGTTTATCCGTTTATCTATTTAGACGAAAGTGTTCCTGCATGCATTGCTGCTGCGTTACGTCCTTCTCTTCATGTATTATTCCGCTTCGCATTTGTTCCGATTTTCGTAACATCACATTCCGTTTCTTGCAGCTTGCAACTCGATTATTTCGTCATCGTTTGATGATTTCATGATTTCATCCGTTTCCTGATTTCCATTCGCAGCAACTTTGATTCAAAAAATTAAAATAACATTAGCACAAAATTAAATATATATCTTTTTAAGTACAATATTTTATGTTTTTCAATTTTTATTTTTATAGTCGATGAAGACTTAAAAGCGAAATTCAAAATCGACAGATGGCTAGTGGACGAAATTTCTTCTTTCTTTTCACTTAACAATCT